TGTTTCCACAGGGCTGTTTGGCCTTTTCGTTCCCCCCCCCCCCCCTCACTCTCTCCCTCTCCCTCCCCCCTCTTTTTCGATGTCCATGGGGCAAATACACCTTCACAATTAACCACATTTCCCAATCATCTATGGTGTTCAATTGCCTCAATACATACCTATACCCCAGAGTCTTGCTATGGCTCCAGGGCGCTTAGGGGACGGGAACGCGGCGTCGCTGGCTGCTCTCATCGGCGCTCTTGGACCACCTATTTTATTTCCTTCAATTAGCAACGATCCGTCTCTTTTGGCGAGATTCAGAGCCACTAGGCATAGTGCTTGTGCCCTACGTTGCTCAGCTCGCAAGGCTCGTTAGCCAGCCAGAGATGAAGCTTGCACAGAGGGAGGGAGCCTGATACCCTTGCCACTTACCATCCGATCTCTCTTCGTGTATTGTCTTATAGCTGTTTTATTCGCGTTCGAACCTGTTTGTTTAATCCCTTGGTTGTGGTCCTATACGGTGCCTCTATGTCCGCAGCCGCCTATGCCCCTCCCCTTTAATGCCTCTGATACCCAATAATTCCATTTCAAATCCCTCCCACGCTGGACTCGTTCTCCACCCTCTCTCGATGCAGCACAGCGATTCGCGCGTGCAGGTTTACTCGGTGGTTCCGTGTCTTCAGTTATCCTGTCTGACAAAGGCACTGTTTTTTCTTCCCCAAAGGACCCAACAACTTTACGCCCAGATGTCAAATCGTGCCTTTCCTCTGATTTTTTGAACACACCCTCGTATATTTGTGTGGTAATTCTCTTGTTCGCTCTTCTTTCTTTCAGTACCCTCTCGCTTTATTCCCTTCGTCTATGTGGGTTTCACGTTGGCCCTGTTTCTTTCCTGCCTGGATAAGTCAGTAATTTCATTATCATCCTCCTTTATGACCCTCAGTATTTGGTGTTTTTCTCGCCCTCTTCCTGTGCCCTCTCACTTTTCTTGTTTGTGGCTTTCGACTTTTGAACGCTGTCATCTTTTGCTCCTGAGCCCTTTCCTTTTTTCCCTTTCAATCCCCCCCCTTTTTCCCCTCCCGTTTTTGCATTCAATCTTACTCTGCTACCACCTGTGGATCTCCAGAAATTTTCGGAAGCAACTGTTCTTTGGGATGGCACAGCTTAGGCTCTAACCAGTATCGGCATATAATAGGCATCCCTTCACTTGCTACGGGAATTGTTGCATACCAAATTTTTTAGAGATTGTTTTAGCGTACGGGGCTGGGGGAAGGTATGTTGCATCATCTGTTCCTCGGCGGTCCTTGGGCCTATGAACATCAGGTTATCTTCTTCGGGAGCCTTGGCTAATGACGCTTTAAGGCTTCCTATGCTGCTTTCATGAATCTGTTGTATCTACCATGACTTATCCCAATGACACCACCCCCTCGGCTCTATCGGACTCGACCAAGGGAGAGTCCAGTGAAGCCGAGCTACGGGCACCGGAGAAGTTACAACAAACAGGGGTGCCTCGCCCGCAATCAGGTATGTTTGTCGTCCAGATAATTCTGTCTGTAGAGCCTTGGTGGGACTGAAAGTCTGTTCAGTACCGACAACTTCCCACGAAGCCCCTCGACCGGATAATGTACAGCACTATCCTAAGGCGCAGGCCCATATGACACACACTGCACAGAGGGGTGCGCCCTCCTCCCTGAATATGCGGGACATGAGATCATCATTGCCTGGATATCAGTCCCACTCTATACTTTATGAGCAACATCATATTCAGCAGCCATATGTTCCCACGGCTCATCCCCATGGTGTCATATACGCAATGCCTCCGTTGCCATCATATCCTGGGGCGACAATAAGCGCAAATATGACTTACAACACTCCTTTTAACCAGGTTTACGCGCCTTACCTTCAGCAACAACACGAGGATCTGCATATGTCTCATGGTGCCACAGGGTATCAATCCTTGGTACCGCATTCACCCTCTCACTTGAATGTCCATATCCCGGCCCAAGCATCTGTATATGGGCTGAACTATTATTCTCAAACTGCATACACGACGGCGCTAGGACATGGGCCGGGTCCCCCGACTACGCCTTCTTCAGTTCAAATGCAGTTGCGTGTTCAAACCCAGAATATGCAGGGACCAACCATCAAGGTAGCGTCGGGTCTGGGAAAAGAAAATAGACAACGGCGTCTGGATATGGAATACGACGTCTCGAAGACAATCGTAGACGGATCGACTCCCATGAGGCCTATCCCCGTTCAAACCTCTTCGGCGGGTAAGGAAGACTGACTCCGAATGTGTGAGATGCGAACTACGTGTTTTAGATTAACCCTGATGTGCTAGATTCAACCTCGCATTCATCTGTGTCAAGCGCTCCAAGGGGACCACCGCGAAAGCCAAAGCAATCTGGACATGCACTCTGGGTCGGCAACCTTCCCCCTGGTACGAATATCGTTGACCTGAAAGACTACTTTTCTCAGGGTGCCACAAAGGAGCTGGAGAGCGTCTTCCTCATATCTAAGAGCAACTGTGCTTTTATCAATTACAAAACAGAGGCCGCCTGTGCCGCAGCGCTGTCAAGATTCAATGATTCCAGGTTCCATGGGGCGCGTCTTGTCTGTCGGCTACGCCAGGGAATTGTCTCCCCGGGATCCAATTCTGACTCTATCGGTCCCTCTACCCCTATCTTGTACCACGATGGGGAAGCCAAGCAATCAAACACTGAGCTTGAGAGAACCGCTGCAGATGGTAGGCTGTCACGCACTCGGGTTCCTAACAGGTACTTCATAGTCAAAAGCTTGACTGTTGATGACCTCGAACTCAGTCGACAAAGCAACATCTGGGCAACTCAAACACACAACGAAGAACAGCTGAATGATGCTTACGAGGTGAACCCTTTGCTTCCTAGGAACCATTCCCTATCGAAAGTATGTAGCTAACAAGCAACCAGAACGCAGACGATGTCTATCTTATATTTTCCGCCAACAAGTCGGGTGAATATTACGGATACGCCCGTATGATGTCGCCCATACAAGACGACGAGAGTTTGACATTGGAGATGCCTCCACGACTGGACAACATTCCTGAACCTGAGGCTCCAGACGTGACACCCACGCCAGCAACATCCACTGCGCCTGATGGACGAATCATCAACGACACTGCGCGGGGAACTATCTTCTGGGAGGCCGAATCTTCAGAAGATGAGAGCGGTATGAGCAAGGAAAAGGCCATCAACGAAGGAGTGGAAGAACCTACGGAGATTGGAGCTCAATTAATCGGAAAGCCGTTTCGAATTCGGTGGCTCTCGACTACACGGGTCCCCTTTCACCGAACGAGAGGCCTACGGAATCCCTGGAATTCGAACAGAGAAGTCAAGATCGCCCGCGATGGGACAGAGATCGAGCCGGAGGTAGGGTCGAAACTTCTGCAGCTATTCCATGCTCAGCCTCAAGAATAAGACCCAGGCGAGAAGGGGATACATCGTGGTCTAAAAGGGGAGACGGCAGACGGTGACAGGGCCCGGACGGGATGAGAGGAGCCAGCAAAGAGAAACAGGGAGACCCCGAAGAGTAGGGAGGAACATCTGGACAGACATGCCGAGAGACAAGTCGTGGGGCGTCGGAATGGTGAATTCTGAGCTGAGACTGCCCCAAGGGACCTTCCCATCTCACGCGGAGTATGTCAACCGCGGATATGCCTTGGTTGGGGTAAGGGGAGGGGGTAATACCTGCATTGCCAGTCGACGCACCCTTGGGTTTCTGTGAAAGGAAACCCCCCTCCTGAGGACTGTCCATGGACCAGAAGAACACGAATGACTCCTTACTTCGGGGCCGAGGTAAGACAGTATACGTACCTTATCTACTCCGTACCTATATAGATATATACTTTGGACCACGTGTTTAGACACAAGAGAAATAAGAAATACACGCAGATATATACACAGATACATACCTATGCAGAAATACTCCTTTCACACACGACCTCCTCTAGGATAGAAAGAGGAAATCCGCAGCATTTCTACCAGGCGTAGGGAAATCGAGAGGGGGAAACAGCAGATGGTGAAGCTGATTGCCCGATGCATGATACATATCCACATGTGGGGATCGTCAATCAATACCTACCGCAGAGCAGTACGGGTCAGTACCGTATGCGCATAGTACATACAGACCTTGATACATGGGTGGATGATACCATAGCCTCTGTAAGATATCTTTCCTGGTATTGCCGGGTATGTACATGCTTCGTACCTTTTGACCCTTACGGCATAGACACACATCAAGAATGCATCCTGGCCATACATGACATCAACGACCATGGGATGGATCCAGAAAGGCGACTATTTTCCACCCCCGATGGCGGTTTGAGGGAGGATTTCGATGGGGATCAGGAAGTGATTTCCGACCTGGATACCTCGCTCCTGGGGGACTCTCCAGGGGAGTGGTAACTACTAACTGCCCTCTTACCCACGACTCATGAATCATCGACCCCGGATCGTCTGGTCCGGTTCCTCAGCTGCACCCTCCCCAAGAAGGCTAGACCCGTTCTGGCCCACGGTCAACGTCAATCGAGGCTTTTGTGGGGTAGGTTTTGGAGGTCCCAGACTCCCAAGCTGCACTCCTTCCTTCCATCCCCAGAGGCTTCCAGTTAAATGCCCACCTTCCCCCTTTCTTTCATCCTTCTCTCTCCATCCCCTCTCCTTCCACCGCCCGTTGTCCTTCTTCAAGATCCTTGCCGGCTACGGCCTGGCTTTTCTTCTCTTCTGATAATTCTCACAAGCCACGAGCTCCCTTTGTTCACCTCCCTCTTTTTCTTTCCTAACTAGCTCTCACCCACCCCCCCCCACATCCTGCCACCCGCCACACCCTTCAACCCTCCCCAAGAGAAGCCCAGATTCTTCACATACACCTACGTACACCTACCCTAGATATTAGGAATTGGGCCTCTCCATGATTCCCCGGTGAGTTGGGTCCTTGCTATCACCGTTTCCTTCTACCCCTCTGCCCTTCCGTTCCTTCGTTCCCCACTCCTTGCGCAATAGTCAATCACTATCAAAGATGGTCATTGGTTCTTGTTGCTATGTGGACATCCTTACTTGCCCACCTCCTTCTGGGTTTCATTGCCACCGCCACATGGAGATTGATTATCGGAATCTTCGCTGAGTATTTTCCCCGACTGACATCCGCTGCTAGGTCCATCTAGGTATTAATTGGGGATCATTCTGCTGCCTATTCCTCTCCTCTCCCTATCCAAACGGCTATTCGGCTGATGTCATAACCTCTGGCATTGGTCTGAATTGCTTATCAATATTATTCCCAATATCTCAATCAGTTCCTTATCATAGTAACTCCCCCCTGGGCACATCCAATTCACCCTTCCTAGTTGTGTCACTGTCTGGGAAGCTAAATTCCTGACCTGTCCTAAACGTGACTATCGATCACCATCCCATCGACCTCTTGAGACTCCCTGTCTTGCTTGTGATAAATATCCCGAACCATCTATAACCCATTCGTTACCATGTCAAACGACCGCTCAACATCTCCAATTTCTGTGCCACCCCCTTCATCACGCCAGCGTCGAGCATCCCTGGCATCGGGGCTTTCTTTTACAGATTATCTTTCTAGATCGGGCAGTCAAGGGGCTGCAGCCGGCGCTCCGTCTGGCTCCATGGCCAATGCGGCAACCGGTGCTCAGCCCAATCATGGACGACGGCTGTCGATAACTACACTGGGTTTATCTGGTTCTCCGACCCAAACTTCTCCATTTGGACCTCGGCACATTCGACACGGTAGTGTGTCTAGTTCTGTGGGATCCAATTCGGCGAACTTAGAGGAAGCCGTCATGGAAGATAATGAGAATGCCCCTCCAAGCGCTACCCCTAACTCCCCCTTCACGCGGCGCCTCTCCTTTGGGGCACAGGCATTGCGCGATGCCCGTGGGGGGAGTATTGGCAACGGTAGATACCCCTCTCCTACATCTTCGGTGGCTGGTGGGCGACGAACTGTATCGTTGGCTAGCGTACCTCCTGTCTCTAGCCCCCCAAGCTCAATTGCTGCAAGTACAAACAAAGTCTTTCCCCAGAACGATAGTTCTAACGCATCTTGGCGACAATTAGGCGAAGGCTTTAACTGGTCTGAGGCTCTACGGGCCCGGGCTGAGCGAGCACCGTCCTTAGGCGTTGTTTCGCCTAATTTAGCCCAAGCCCAAAATATGGGCCAGCAAGGTCACCACCAGCGGGCTGCATCCATTACCTCAATGGAGCAGCCGGCTCGGGAATTACCAAAGCAGCCCAAGCATAATAAGCCCGACTTCTTCCAGGAGAAAATTCTTAGAGGTGACTTCATGGACTGAGCCGGGAGCGGTCTCTCTTCTCGCCTGGTTCTTCTCTCCATGCTTCTTGCTTTGTTCTCATCTGCTTTTCTCTATGCGTGTCTATCTTTTCTCTTTCCCTTACTGTAAGGTGGAGGTCTAGGGAGGGCACAAGAAGGCTATGAAGGTTCTGATAGAACCTCAAAACGGGAATTACTTGAGAGATATCTTGGGTAAGAAGCCAAATCAGTGCATCTGAGCTGCGTCAATAGTATTGATTATTTTGGTGGTCAGTTACTCAAAAATTGCTTCCAAATACAATACTTTGACATTGTCTGGCAAACCCCTGGAGAGCTTTGTTTTAAGACTCAAATCTATTGCCTTTCTGATGTTTCTTTGCATTTTCCGGGTTCCTCTAGGCTCTCAGCTATTTCTCTTGATTTTCCTTTTCGATATTTGACCTATTTCCTTTGGGCACTGCTGGTCAGAGCCACGTCTGATTTTAACGGTCCCCAAATTGCCTAACTCGTGATATAGTTGAATACTGCTAAATAATTCACACTCCGAAACCTGTTTCATACTGCATACAGGTGTGGATAAGAAACTCTGACAAGCTAGAGATTGGGCTCCGTAAGGGGTACCCTGGAAAGATACTTGAAACTGTACTTTGGACCAAGGGATTGGCTGTATTCAATTGTTCCATGAGGTGATTATCAGGTCCTGCCCTGCGGACGACCTCCAAGACATTGCAGAGCGTCTTAGGAAGCATCTTACCACGCATTTTTTGGGCATCTAGTGAAAGGCATTTCAACAGGCTAAAAGGACCCTATCAAGCACTTTCGAAGGGCTCCGTCAAGCGCTTCGACAGTGCCCTGCTAAATATCTCTTAGAGGGTCATGTTGAACATCGAGAATATCTGTACACAAGTCCGACATACAATCTGAATCCAGGTAAAGATCCAATACAAGCTGATAGTCTGAAGCTGTATTCCAGCAGATCCTAGTCAATAATTTTTAGTGGACACTCCTCTCTTATTTGGTTGGAGTGGTGAATACAGATAAAGATAAAACCAAGTTTAAGCCCTGTCACTTGGCATAAGAAGAAGTAATTCAAAACCTTAATTTTATACCTTTAAATAGAGCTTAGAATTAGCCGAGTCTTAAACCTAACCCAGAGCGTAGAGTTACTTCGCGCTAACATGCTTCGCATATCAAAAGTAAATTGATTACTGTAAAGCCAAGCTGGCTGTACGTACTTCGTCTATCTATTGGTTATATACCACTATTTTTTCCACGTCTGCATCAGCACATGTCTCCATGGTGTAGTGGTTATCACGTGGGTCTCATATCAACCAAAATATGACTTGATGGATTATAAACCATCAGGAAATCCCAAGGCCGGGAGTTCGATCCTCCCTGGGGACAGCTATATATATTTTTTCTTTCTTTTTCTTCTCTTTCCGATTTTTGACTGATTGTGTGTGCATCTTGCTTCTTCTATATAAGATGAGAATAATGGACTGCGGAGTATAGTCATTAATGGTACTCCGCAGGGCCCAATGAATGTTTATCTTAGGTATGATATGAGCTTTTTGTCATGCAAGGGTGTGTGGGGTAGGTTAATAGCCTAGTGGCTTGAAATCTTTGGTTTCTTTCCATTTACATGGCTATACATGTATACAGTCTGTGTGGCATAGGCATTCTCAATGAGCATGGACATGATGTTCTCGATATTTTGGATCCTTAGCTCCTAGGGATTTGATTGGACTTGAGGATAGTGACACCTGATGGTATGACTTGAACACGCAACTTCACGCTCCTTTATGTAGGTGTGGGCGCGCGTCCGGGATCACTGACATACAGAGGATTTATACCACGCCCCCCTTAAGAAGTATACGTGTAGAAATAATCTCATGAGGAATCCTCTCACCCATACTTACTATCAAATTCCAGGTAGATGATAAGCTATACCCTTGAGACTTCTCTCCTTGAATGAGAAGATGCCTCCATATATCCCACAAATGTCTCACAATATGTAATCGGAAATCCCTCGTCAAAACGCAGTGTAACATCATCGTAACACTACTCAACCCCAAGCAAGTTCCCGCACCCACCTTGATGATGAACTTCCTTTTCTGCGTGGATGACCCAACCGTCCTCTAGCCGAGAATGCTCATTGCCCGGGCCCATTCAAAATTAACACACCAAGAGTTCAATGAAAGACAAAAAGAAGGAAGAATTGTACGAACAACTAAAGATAAAGAAAGAGAAGTGTTGTAGTCAGACATAACAGCTAGCCAAACTGCCATTCTTCCTTGCCGCAAGTGGTGCCCGTGGAGTTCAATACGGGATGCCATTTGTCAACAATTGGAATTGGTCGTATCCTTTGGTCGAAACGCTCATGTATGATTTGCGGACAAGCTCCCGCATGTACTCGGCTGCTTCTCTTTCGGTCTTTTCAAGTACAAACCGATCACGGAAGTTCTTCAGCGTATCGGGCTTGAAGCAAGGCAGGCCACTATCAAGCATCAACGACACAATGTGAGACAGTTTAGAACTGTATGGTCTCGAAGCAAGGAATGCCTTCACCACCAGGGATTCAAACCACCGATAAGGCTGCGTGTTGGTAGGACTATAGGAGCCACCGCCGGGGAGACTAAGTCCGCCGCCGGAGCTGTTACCCGCATGCGTCTGCTGGGAACCGCTCATCACAGCAACCATTTCAGAGGTCAACTTGAAGGGGGCTCGCTCAAACCGCACGCCTCCCGGTGCAATATCGAAACAGAACCCGAAGTCGATGTGTATGATGTGACCGGCATCGTCAATCATTATATTTCCGTTATGCCGATCCTTGAATTGTAGGAGATAGGAAATCACAGAGTAAGCGGCCATACTCTTGACGAAATTTGTGCGTGCTTCCTGAAACCGGATCGACTCCTCACCACCGTACTTCGAGATAAAGTAGTCATACAGGCCATTGACTGCCTCACGGCCCAGCATATCGCGCGAAATTGAATTCGGAAGTACATCAATGACGCCGCAACCAGGTGCCGTTGAAGTTACTCGATAAGGGAATACCCACACATCAAGTCCAACGCTCGTGAAGATGCTCCGGAAAGCGGCAATCATCTGCAAAGCCAACATGTCTTGGCGGCAATCGTCACCAACCTTGAAGATGGCTGACTGCCATACTTCATAGGTTTCCTGGCTCCGATTAGGAAGATGGTCACCGAGCTCCTGGGTGGCTTTGTCATCATCCGACGATGCCCTTGTTTTCTGAATCCTGAAAGTCGCCATATAGGGCGCTTTTGCGTGACTTTGGAGCGGTTTGCCGGACTTGCGATCGATTCCAACAACAACACCCTCTGGGTTGCTTGGGAGGTATACACCCACTTCCACCTTGATTTTGCGGAGTTCTTCCTCAATCTTTTCCTTCTTCTCGGCCTTACTTCTTTTGATGTAGGGCCGAAGTTTTCCGGAAATCCCGGTAATTTCATTGAAAAATGAAAACTCCTTTTCATAGAACTCACGCTCCTCATCTGTGAAGCTTGACACTAAAGTATCCATGAATCCGTCCAATGTTGGCTTGAGGGGATCCGGCTATTCAATGCTTGTTAACGAGTTGCATATATGGAGACTATATAATACTCACAATCTGAGAATCCTCATCCTTATAAGAATTGGCTTTCATATTCCATATCACTTGGTGCGCAAACAACTGAGATAACTTGGCTGTCTCCAATATGTAGCGCTCTACATAGCCTAGAGCATCGTATCGCAAGGCTTGGACCAACTGTGGAACGAAGTAGAAGCGAACATCAACGGAATGACTTTCAAGGGCTTTCATCGCATACTGTAGTATGAAAGGATGGTTTCCATAGGCAGGAAGGAAATAAGTCAGGGCTTCAGTGGGATTGACAGGGGCCCAGTATAGAAGATACTGCTTTCATTAGTACTGGGAAACTATCAATAGACGATCAAAATTTGACATACCTTCAGTTGAGTATGGACATCGGCAGGAAGAGTCGACCCAAACAGGGTCTCAAGCGCACTGGACTCATCGATAGCCTTGTCCGGAAAATTAAGCACCAACCAGCGAATGTCGTTCTTCAGCTTCGCAGACGGGAAACGGGTGGAGAGATGTATAGCTAAACCTGGGGCTTCAGCCCATGCAAGGCGTAGTAGATTTGTGGCATCCTAGAGAAGGTGAGAAACAACTCTTGCTCGCGACAGAAACCAAGCTGCTTAGCTACAAGTCAACGCACCTCTGTAAAACTTCTAACCGCGGCTGACTGTGGCATGTGATGTTTCCGGTCTGCCTCCAAGGGGTAAAGCCAGACTCTGAGACGTGATCTTTCGTCTTCCAGAAGAAGCTGGAGAAGCTCCTGCTTTGCCTGAAGCGTCTTGGGGGAGCTACGAATGTGACAAGCAATGCCAGCAACGTCTGCCAGAGCAGAAGCAACATCATTGAGTATTCTGTCTTCGGCCTTGATCTGTAACCGATTGCCTCCAAATGACCATCTGTATACCGCAACTCAGCAAAAGTACTCAGCGCATGCAATTACGTGAAACATACCTGGGCGGATGTTGAAACCAAGTCAAGGCAGCTGACAAGATCTGGTCTTTGAGTTTCCACACGAGGTTCTGATCTGGCAACCGAGAATTCTTTAACACTTTCAAACCGAACAGAACAATGCGAAAATGCAGTTCCCTGGCAAGTGGATGGCAGCTGGCTTGCAGAAAACCCACAGTCGTTTTATCGACCAGACGGCAGAAAAGAGACTGGATTTGGGAGTTACCCAACCGAACGGCAGCAAAGTGACTTTCAAAGAATTGCAAGATCTGGAAATGAGGTGTTAGGGCACTCTGAGCCTTTTGTTGGTTTTTGACCATTAGAGCTTTGTCAGTGGGAAGAAGCTCGATTCTGGTAAACATTGGATCCACATAGCTATGTATTCCCAAATCAGCATCAAGTATGGGCTAAAAGAGATCTTTGCTTACTTGCAAGACGGGTCAAACAACCCCCTTCGACGCTGGATTGATCTTTCCCAAGCCCCAATGACTTCCACCAAGATTTTGGATTCCACCCTTGGGTTCTCATGCATCACACCCAGCCAAAGAGATATGCCAATATCCATCGATTCCTTCGAGAAGAGCTGGAAAGGTACTTGGACTAGGTATTGAGCAAGGGAAGCCGAAGGGTTGCTATCATTGCACAGCAGGCCTGCGGCTCGGCGTAACACATCCCGAACATCAACAATAGAAACAGCGTCGCCTGAATTTATATGTGCGGAGAGTTGGCATAACGTGCTCTCCATGGCTTCACTTGCAGCAAGCTGGGGCTCGGAGAGCACAGAGCCTTTGTGAACTGTTGGCCGCTTCTTAGCTCCAGAGATGTCAAAGTTTGAGGTGATACCAACCGCTGAGCCTAATTGTTCCTTTTTCTGAGCAACCAACACTTGGTGCATATAAAGTCCTGTAATTCTGACGTGTGGAGTATTGGGAAATGAAGTCGGAGGCAACGTTTATCTTACTAAGGCCATGGATGTCGATAGAGCCTGAAAGTTCATATGGAGATCAGTGGATGGTATTGTGGCCAGAAAGTCGAAGAGCTTTGCCTTACCAAGCCGTTGATCACTGTTTGGAATGAGAGAACCCATTTCAAGTGCAAATGAGCGCCCCAGCAAAATGTTGCCATAACCAGCATGATCATCAGAAAGGGACAGATATGTCTTGATCAATCGTATAAGTCATTTGCTTAGACTAGGATAAATAGAACATACCTGAAGCAGCCCTTTGATATCCAGGGGGGCAATATCCATGGCTGCCGCTACCCAGGCCCTGGATCGTTCGAGCAAAACGTCCAATGTCCTTTTTCTAAAATTATAATTATCGGGTAGATCGGCCTTGACCATTCCTGTGGGTGAAGTAAATGAAGGATTCCATTCGAACTCGTCGAGTTCTCCTTCCAGGCATGAACGCCACATGACTGTCAGAAGTTCGAGCAAAGCGAATAGGGAGTGCTTTTCACACAGGGCTGATGGACATTCATTAATGACCTTGTTAGCACAAAGCACGGCCACGTTTTGGACTCTTTCAACGCGGTGGCTGCAGGCAATAAAAAAGCCAGCTAGTTCTCTTGATAGGAACGGAACAGAGAAATCTTCAGACTTCCCGGAGAGCGTGAGTGAGAGGTAGCAAGTCACTATCTTTTCTGCAATTGCACTCATGCAACTAGCCATTTCTGGGGTGGCTAAGACCGGGTCTCGGAAGTAATCAAGGAGCGTGGTACAATTTCCGGATAAAGCACGAAGATTTTCAACCAAGAGCGTAGCGTTGAGAAAAACCACCTGTGGATAACTTAAGCGCTTTATTTCTGCTTCATGACCAGGGAGCTCAGAAATCAGATCGCGCTTTTGCTCCGAAAGGCGTTGCGAGCCCATTCCACGTCTAAGGATTGTATTCAGCTCAACGTCGCTTTCAGTTGCCTCCATACGATCTTCGGAGACAAGGGGTGGTGAGTGCTTCGCGAGCAAGCGCAACTCTTCAAAATGACTTTGGCCGACAGCGGAACGGATGGATATCCCATGGACCGCAATATTAAACCATGCATCGCGGAACAAAGCAGACATATCCTGGTCGTACTCTGCAACCGTTTGTGCATTTCCCAGCTGCCGCCTTTCAGAAGAGACGAGCAAAGCTAGGGGCCTTAAGAGGGGGCTGATTTCGTCAGCTGCGAGAGCAAGCTCCTTCTGCCGCTCCTTTTCGAGATCAGTGGCGTCACCCTTATTCACAACGTTCTCTAACAAGTGAACCAAATATACATTGTACAACGGCGAACTTCTTTTGAGTGTGACGGAGAGATATGCCAATGCACTCTCGACAGCATCAGTAATACTGCTATAGCCCCTGGCGATACCGTCTCGGTATGCTCGGTCGTAGAACTTGAGTAGAAGTTGAAACTCAGCTTGTCCAGTGCTCAGCGATATGGCAGCTGTCTCCGTAATGATAAAAGCATCGATGGCAGCATTCACCTTTCCTATTTTTTGTAGCAACATGGATTGTGCTAAGGCGCTTATTTTCTCGTCATTGCAGCTCGTGGCGATTGTTACAATGGCTCGGACAACATTCTTGTAGGAGAGATTATTTGCTTCGCCGTCAGCTGTGAAAGAAACCACACTGCCAGTTCTCATCGTTGAAAACGGGAGAGATGCACCACCATGAGCTGCAGTATCTCCCAGCAGATGGCTTTGATACGATTTGTCGGTGCTTGATCCGGAGCTCAGAACATTCCCCAATGAGTAGAGAGTAGTGATAACGGCGTCTTGGGAAAGAACACCAAGAATTTGTGCAAGGCATTTCCCAGCAACGAAGCCAGTACAACCGGTCGGCGCACCACCCTCGATAATAAATCTTAGGAGAGAGCGGCATCCCGAGGAGGCGACGCTTACAGAAATTCGTGAAATGATCGCCATGCTCCTCAGAGCAGCGGTTGCTAAATCCGCACAAGCCATTTGGTTCGGGTCCATAAGTGTATCCTCTAACCATGAAAGGAACTCATCCTTGTTCGTCGTATCCTCACACACAATGATGCAGTTAAGATATCCGACTAACGCCAGAGCTTTCATGGAAAACGCAAGCCGCTGCTGCCAAGGGGAGCCAAGTTGCAGATAATCCGAGCCATCTTCCAGGAGCTGAATTTCATCAGCGATGATGGCTGTCACGCGATCAATGAGAGCAATCTCAGCGTCGCTGGGACTCCTAGCGATTCCCGTGCAGTTCAGGCAGCCGCGGAAGAATTCGTCATTTGATAAGCCACGTGCCCCGGCCATAGATGTAGCACATGACTTGACAAATCGAATACATCCCTCTTGTAGCAGCATGGCCCCTAAAGGACGCCCATCAGCATCGTAACGGCGGGTATATTTTCTCCACTCTCTAAGCAGATTTTCGGGCAAGGTGGCATTCCGCACAGTTGACGAGGCAGTCTCCACAGCTACCAAAAACTGTTCACAGAGCATCGACCGCAAGTTATTGACTAATTGTAGTTTCTCACTGGCGGACCAGAATGAAGTAAACTCGGCCGAAGCTCCCAAGAAGCCAACGAGAGAGACGGATATTGACAACACGCCAACGGACTCAAATCCAGCATCACGCCTATTTGTTCCCGAATGGTAGCGATCAAGAGGTGCCACTGCTTTAATGGCCTCGGCACAATTGTATAAATATCCGTTGAGAGCACCCAGCACGGTATTACGTAGCGATGGGTAGCTCGAACCCAGCGAGAGGAGAGCCAGTGCAAGATGATGAGTAAGATTCTCCCAAGGGGACGGTTTCACATTATGCAGGAAGGGGGAAGGGCGGAAGAGTTGACTATGAGACTCGGGAAGGTACTGAGACAACAGCGAAGCTAGTCTTGAGGCATGCTCGATTTTGACCACTGAAGGAGATGCTTTACATAGAGCAGTGAGTACATCGAGCTCCCTCATGCCCTTTCAAGGTTAGTATTGGGGTTTATCACAAGAGGCTGGAGTAAGAATAGAAGCAAACGAACCATAGGCACCCGTGATGTAGGGGCTTGGGTATGTAAGATACCATTGAGGGTGTTGTCCGACTGATAAGCCGGGGGTAGCGTCTGCTGAACGAGACGTGCAATATCAGAGTCGCTGCCGCATTCTGGTCTCCTGACCGCTAATGCTGCAAGCTTATCCAAAGCGGAGGCTCTAATGGTCGAGGGGCTACATTTTCATTAGCACAAATCTATTCCTAGGAACTTGTAGCTCGCTTACTCATCCATGGTGGGAGACCTCTTCTCCTACCTAATATGAACCGTGTTAATATGCCGATTATGCTGCGTAAATTCTAGTTTGTTCTCCGTAAGGCGATGTTAAATGCCTCCTGTCTCCTGAAGGTAGTTAGCCCCTTATCGTAGATTATGCGTCTTAGCTTTCACTAGGCGGCTCCGGGGTTCGCACGGAGTACCTCGGCACGGCGGACACGTGGGCCTCGAACCTCTTCGGTGGCCAGGGTTGCTTATATTTTACACCGCATCTCGTTGAAGGCGAGATTGCGGTGGTGATACTTGCCCCCTTTGAAGATCAAAGACTTCAAAAGACGAAGATGTGACATAATGTCATCCGTGTTGCAGTCGGTCGCTAGTGATTCCCCTCGCCCTCGTCGTTGTGGACGTTCTATGTGTTCAATCACTCTTTCTGTTTGCTTGTTTCTGTCAAACTATGTTTGTGTACATAGAACTCATTTTACTCTCATTTGTCAGTCAGATACTACTATGTACTATGTATAAGTACTAGTAGTGGGGTGATCAAATTATTTCGTACGGCGTAGTGAGCATTGTTCCATCTAGTGATGATATTGTCACACTCATGACGTGACAAACTGACCACGAAGAGTCTCTAATGTGTTCATATGTGGCCAGGTGCCCCTCAATGAAGTCGATTCAAAGTGATTTAAATTTCATGTAAGTCACGGGAATACGATGTGCAAAGGGGGAGTACTAGATCGAAAGCGGTGACGGTATTAACTATTCTAGATCGATGATGACCTAAATGCTAAATAGTGGGTAGTTAACCGGTAGCTTTGACTCGATGCGTTCTGAGCTGGAAGCACCGTGGACCACACTCACGGATGACCAAACTTTCTGTACGTCGCAGCCTTGCCTTGTTCCTACCATAGATCAATCACTTGTCGTTAGTTTTCCTCATTTGGTCCTTCCAACCTCTTTCTTTGTTTCCCTTTGCCTTCTTTTTGCCCCTTTGACTTGCTCTTTCTCATCTTTCCAGCGACCGATCTTGTTTTGACTTACATTCAATGATTGAGCTTTGGCCTACCTTCTCCGGAATACAGAAAGAACCGAAAGTCTCTAAGGCTTCCGCACACTGAGTGCTGCTCTGAATACTGAGAAAGGAAAACCAAGCTCAGTTTGTGACGGTTGGCATAATAGGATGTGAACAGACAACACAATGACACCGCAGAACGAGAAAAGCTCCCTCAAGCGTGTCAGGGTATGCATTTGTCTTAGTATCTCTCTTTATGGGACTGACGATGGATGAATATGTAGGCAACCGCAGATAATGATTCGCAATATCTCAAAAAGCCACGGCGCTCCGAGAGGATCAATTCCCAAAGCAAATCACAAGCCTTAGACAACCAGTCGTATCTGCCCACACCATTGACTCAACGAGAATCGACTGCTACAGACATCGGAAAGGAGTCACCTGCTCCACCCAACGAATCCAGCCAGGTCTTGCACCAACGTACGCCCTCTATTTCAGAACCCCTGCAAGCCAGTCCTTCACCTCCAGGTGATACTCAAGCTCTTTCCCAGTTTGTCTATCCGCCCAGAGCATTTGCGGATGAAGTCGAAGACGAAGCTGCAGAAGGGGTCTGGGGTTATTTAATCCCACTTGATGACAAGGTTCGACACGCTTTAGTATTGAGGAAACGTGGGAGTTGTGAAGAGCGCGAATATGCAGAACCCACAACTAGGTCCAAAAAGGGAGCCTCGAAAAAAAGTACAGAATCAATACGCGGAGGTCATTCTCAGTCACCGGGGGGCTATCTGATAGGTCGACATCATGAATGCGGTAGGTATTTATACCTGATTCTCTTGGATAGGCATCTAACGAAACTTTAAGATCTGGTGATTGATATCCCTACTGTGTCGAATCGCCATTTCTTGATATTCCCGGAGAGCAGAAAGGGGGATTCCGTCGCAGTTCTAAAGGATTCGTCCATCAATGGTACTTTCGTCAACGATGCAATTGTGGGCCGAAACAAGCAACGTGATCTTGAGGATGGTGATGAAGTCACTATCTTGAATGAAGCACGATTTGTTTTCAGATACCCCCGGACTAGAGACACAAATCGATTCCACCAGCAATACAGAGTTCTCCAAACACTTGGAAAAGGACACTTTGCCACAGTCTACCTCTGCGTAGAACGGGCCACAGGAACTCGATATGCCGTGAAAGTGTTTGAAAAGCGGTCCGGCGATTCACAGCGCTCACAAATCGATACCATGCAGCAGGAAATTGGTGTTTTGATGGGAGTTAGTCATCCGAACTTGCTCTGTCTCAAGGATACATTTGACGAAAGCGATGGTGTATACCTTGTTCTGGAGCTTGCCCCAGAAGGCGAATTGTTTAGCCTGATTGTTAGCGAAACAAAACTCTCAGAAAGTGACACCCGCCATATCTTTCTTCAACTGTTTGAAGGACTGAAGTATTTGGTATGTTCATACCGCTTCCTACGTTATCCTTCTTTCCATCGACAATGACATCTAAAGTGAAGGACTAGCATGAACGAGACATTGTTCACCGAGACATAAAACCCGAGAATATTCTTGTCACAGACAAGAGTTTGACTGTGAAACTTGCGGATTTTGGATTAGCCAAGATTATTGGTGAAGATTCATTCACAACAACATTGTATGCTCTATCACCTGGAATAACTTGGATACTATTACTAACAGGTGTTTACTATAAGATGTGGGACACCGAGCTGTGAGTCACCTACATCCCCTGTGAACTAAAAAGATGATGCTCATTTTGTAGATGTTGCACCAGAGATTCTGGAAGGGTCACATCGCCGGAAATACACAAAAGCTGTGGATGTTTGGTCACTTGGAGTTGTTCTATACATATGCCTTTGTGGTTTTCCCCCGTTCTCGGACGAACTATATACACCTGAACGTCCCTTCACTCTAGCGCAGCAGATAAAACACGGGCGCTTCGATTATCCATCTCCCTATTGGGATACTGTGAGCGATCCGGCATTGGATCTGATAGACCGAATGCTTACGATTAATGTCAACGATCGAATCACGGTGGATGGATGCTTGGAACACCCATGGGTCACAGGAAATTACCCTAGTGTTTATGACAGCACAGATGGCTTGACTGGCGCCTTAGGGAAGTTGGACTTCTCAAAAAGGAAACTAGCACGCGAGCGAACGCTTCTCAGCCACATCAACAATGTCCTCTATAGTGAACACGAGCAGGAAAGCGGTGCTGCTGTCAAGGTCTTCCACAAGAGTGATACCGGAAAGCGTGTCAACCACCCAGCAAGAATTATGCAGGAGTGTGAAGCATCCCCAAGTGAGAATAGTGCTCCTAAAGACTTTCTCAATCTTGGGGAACGGGGTGATCCAGTCCTGTTTGACTGCAAATCGGCGAATGGCCATAGATGACAAAGAGCTTGTCACGCGCACCCTTCTGATTTGATGAGGCCATCGGATTGATGTGAACTGTCGGGAACATGCCGGTATTCTTGAGTTTAGTTCTGGAGACCGATTTAGACTCGTCAAGGGTTGAATGTGGCATGTGCGTGTTACGTATCCTCGAGGGCATAAGTACGGAGTTGTTAGGCCTACTATTATCTAATACTTTCAAAGCGACGGATTGAGCAGGCATCCTATTGCTTACATATATAGCCCTGATTTCTCTTGAACCTTAGCATACAAAACTTGCCCGGCTTGCTGGGCTGTACAATAAATAAGCCCCCCATAAGCGGTCCTTTCTAGCCATTTCTTAAGGTAAAGGTAAATCAAAACATTGGTACCCTCACACACACACCAGTAATAGGTAAGTAGTAGTATCTAGGAGGAACGGAGTAGTAGCAGACTGTACTGTACGGCCTCCGGAGACGTACTCCGTTTCAGGGGCAGAATGGACCTGGTTCCACTAAGGAACGGCATACTATTAGGCGGAGAACGGTGCACGGAGCAGTAGTACCTTACAGGATTTCTTGGTACGCCCAAAACTGCGAGCGGGTCGAGGCCACTTTACTAAGGACGCTCACTCACTGGCGCTGTCATTTTTCTCCCTTGTCCCTTCTCTCCTCGAACGCGTATATGCGTATCTCTGCGCCACTGAAAGCAAGAAACAGGTATCTGTCGCGTATCTCTAACGCCGACTGCATGTGTCACTCTTCCTTGTGAACAACAACCCCCCCCCGTCGGAGCGTTGCGATCGATTTTGATCCCGTTATTGCGCTACAATGGGCTTTCTCGCAGTCATTCTCGACAGCCTCTGCGAGCGCTACTCGGATAGCTCAGTTGTTGTACTTTGTGGTATTGGATTTCTATCTCTGCTTGCCGTATCTGTTATCGTCAATGTCTTTAGACAGCTTGTTTTCAAGAACCCCAATGAGCCCCCTATGGTATTTCACTGGTTCCCTTTCATAGGTAGCACCATCAGCTATGGCATGGACCCCTATAAGTTCTTCTTTGATTGTCGTGCGAAGGTATGTCTCGACTTTTCCTCGCATTTTAACCCGCCTCTTACGTTTCGCTAATTCATTCCATATGCAGTACGGCGATATCTTTACCTTTGTTCTCCTCGGCAAGAAGACAACAGTTTACCTAGGCACCAGGGGCAATGACTTCATTTTGAATGGAAAATTGCGCGATGTTTGTGCCGAAGAAGTTTACTCTCCACTTACTACACCTGTATTTGGCCGCCATGTTGTCTATGACTGCCCGAATGCCAAACTTATGGAGCAGAAGAAGGTAAGCTCGTGTGCCAGGAGAGTCACGGACATGTGTGTTGATGGAGATAGTTTGTCAAATTTGGTCTGACATCTGACGCGCTGCGTTCGTATGTGCGTTTGATCACGGATGAGGTGGAAGATTTTGTCGAGAACTCCGCAGCCTTCAAAGGGCCCAATGGCGTTTTGGATGTCTGTAAAACAATCGCCGAAATCACCATATACACGGCCTCTCGTTCCCTTCAAGGAAAGGAAGTTCGCAGCAGATTCGATTCTACCTTCGCTGAATTGTACCATGACCTTGACATGGGGTTTGCGCCTATCAATTTCATGCTTCCCTGGGCACCTCTTCCCCACAACCGGAAACGTGATGCTGCGCAGCGGAAGATGACCGAAACGTATATGGAGATTATCAAGGAGCGTCGCATGGCTGGTAATAATAAGGATTCTGAAGATATGGTTTGGAACCTTATGTCCTGCGCATATAAGGATGGCACCCCGGTTCCTGATGAGGAAATCGCACATATGATGATCGCCTTGCTTATGGCCGGCCAGCATTCTTCGTCGTCGACAGCTTCATGGATTGTTTTGCACCTTGCAAGGAATCCGGAAATCATGGAGGAGTTGTATGCCGAACAGATTCGTGTGCTTGGTTCCGACCTACCCCCTCTGACTTACGAAAACCTGCAAAAGCTCGACCTGCATGGTAAAGTTATTAAAGAAACACTACGCATTCATGCACCAATCCATTCAATAATCCGCGCAGTCAAAAACCCAATGCCCGTGGATGGTACTTCATACGTTATTCCAACTACGCATAATGTTCTTTCATCGCCTGGTGTTACTGCAAGATCAGAGGAATATTTCCCCAACCCTCTCAAATGGAACCCCCACCGCTGGGATGAGACAATTGCAGTCAACGCAGAAGAAGAAGAAAAAATCGATTATGGGTACGGCCTTGTCAGCAAAGGTACTAATAGCCCATACCTTCCATTTGGTGCTGGGCGCCACAGATGTATCGGTGAACAATTTGCCTATGTGCAACTTGGAGCAATCACTGCGGCCTTGGTTAGGATGTTTAAGTTCCAGAATCTGCCAAATGTTAAGGATATCCCAGAAACAGACTATTCAGTAGGCTACCCCTGCCCCACAATGTGTTCGGCTATCGTTCGATGGTGTTTATGACTGACCAATGCTAGTCCCTTTTCTCCAAACCTGCTGGCAAGTCAACTATACAGTTTGAGAGACGCATCCGTACAACCAAATCATGACACCCTGCCACTTACTGCATGAGGCACGCATCTATTTGATGAATAAGTCTTCTAGGACCCTGTTTATTACAATGGGAATGGTCATTAAACGACCGTTTCTTTGCTTCCATTTTGTTTCACTCAAGGCTTTATTGCTTGTATTCTATATCACATATAATGGCTGCTTGTACAGTATATCAATCCATTGTAATGATTTTGGGCCTGGCTATATCTGAAGTCTGCTTGCGTAGTGACTATATTCTTCGTTATGCAACAGGGAGGAGCCCTGAGACTATACTTTTCTTTACGATAATGGTGACCGGCGTTGCACGCACGAACTTGTTTGTTATGCTGACCACCTCATACTTTGATGATATAGAGACTACGAATATTGGAACAAGAACAGTCGATGTTTCAAAAATATAGTACATTTGAGGTAATTCAACATTGGCGCCCCGTTTGAGATACAGTAGGAGTAAACAAGTAATGTATAGGCACTGCATCCTATAGATCTAGATGCCCTTCTTCCTCTCTTCGCTTCGCTTCTTGGCCCTGACTTCAGCACGTCGCCTTTCACCACCGTCCACTTTGTGGCCAAGCTTGTCTTCCCACATACCCTCCTCAACCTTAATCAGGGCTGCACGACCATTTGAGCCTTTAAGCGGTTGAAGAAATGGACCGCTAATAATTGAGCCGTTGATGATCTTCATGTGCGCAAACTTCTTCGGGGTTTTTGTTGGGTCATGGGTGTAGTTGGTAGCATCTGGTGAGATGTTGACGACGACTCGTTTCATCCCGGGTGTCAACGTAGCCGAGGAATTCACAGAACGCGAGCTTTCATTTTTTGAGATTGTATCTTTAAGCTCGAGCGGAACTTCAACAATTCGGAGCTGCGCAACGCCATCGACCACGTTTTCCAGGTCTCCACCGGGGCCATAGATCCCCTTCCTGAACTTCTCCCTCTTGCGAAGCAAATATCGCCGCTGACGTGCAGGCTCAATTCCCAATTCCCGAAGTTCGGTGGAACTTAGAGTAAAAAGCTCATCCCAGGAAGGCAGCTTGCTCGCATGTTTGGACATACCACGGCCGATTAGTGTAAGAAAGGTTTGGACGTCAGGAACAAAGGGTGTTGGCGACGGCGGAGAAGGGGCGGGTGCACCTTTATGAACCGTCCGTATGAACTGTTTGCTGATGGTCAAAGATCGGAGCACTTGCAAGGACAAGCGGTGCGAATTGCGTGTTGCCATGGTTATTCCTGCAACTTCTCGGGATGGCCGATGTCGTATCCGAGCCGGCGTTTAGACTTTATCAGAGGTTCTGTCGAAAGAACAGGAAATATCGGGGATGAAGAATTAAAGGATATATCTAGCCCCTTCCCCGTCGTTGGGAATCGTCACTTTGACAGCGTAGTAGAGTTTAGTTATCTTGCTCGGTCCGGACCATCCTCGAGAAATTTCGGCGATATGAACAGTCCCGGGATCAACAAAACTCCGAACTTTAATTGATGCGACGTTCCTCGTAACATGTCGGCCAGCCAGTCCAACATCCTTCAGTTGTTCATGTTCACCGGCCACCGGTTACTATAACCTGATATGTCGCTGCCGCGCCAGTGATACATAGCTACCCTTGTTTCCTCCTTATCCGTCGAAATCGGATGCATACAAGCAAGCCATGGCGGTTTCGCCTTTGAACCCCCTCGCCTTGTCACGCGCAGCTTCAAACTCGAATGAAGCCAGTAAATCGGAAAAGGCTCCTGTCATCAGCTCACCTCATAAGCAGAGAGGCAGATTGTCGCCTCGACTGGTGAAGACCCCCGACCGTGAGATCACGGAACAACTAAACGAGGATGTGAGGCAGAAGTACATCAAAGGTGCCAGGCTCCCATCGCTTATTTTACTCCCCGTCTTACTACTGCCATTCCATCTACATTGCAATACAAACACCAGGAGCATGCCATCACTAATCAATGATTATCTTGCAGATAAGAAGCTGGGTGAGGGTACTTATGCCGTAGTATTCCTCGGGCACCTTCGCACAGACCCGTCCTCATACGTTGCCATAAAAAAGATTAAAGTCAACGCTGAATACAAAGACGGACTTTCGATGGACGCGATTCGGGAGGTAAAATACCTGCAAGAGCTTTCACATCCAAATATTATTGCACTCCACGATGTGTTCTCATCCAAGGATCAGAATCTCAATCTGGTCCTAGAATACCTACCGCGCGGTGATCTTGAGATGCTCATCAGGGACAGCAGTATCCAGTACGGTGCTGCTGACGTTAAGGCCTGGATGGGAATGCTTGCCAGAGGTGTTTGGTTTTGTCACGAGAATTTTATTTTGCATCGCGATATAAAACCAAACAACCTTCTTGTCGCTGCCGACGGAGAAGTTAAACTTGCAGATTTTGGCTTGGCTAGGTCGTTTGCTGACCCATACTTAAACATGACACACCAGGTTATTACACGCTGGTATCGACCTCCGGAGTTGCTTTTCGGTGCGCGACATTACTCTGGAGCCGTCGATGTTTGGTCTATGGGAATGGTCTTCGCCGAACTTCTTCTCCGGGTTCCATTCGTTGCGGGGAACTCCGATCTAGACCAAATCTCTAAGCTTTGTGAAGCTTTCGGAACGCCAACGGAGGACATCTGGCCGGGCGTGACCCGATTGCCAAACTATATACCTGCCGATCCGAATCATGTTGTGCCTGTACAAGGCCGAGAATTTTTCCTTAGGCAGTTTCCGACAGCTGGACCTGTTGGCGCAGATTTGCTCATGTCTATGTGTACCTTGGATCCAAGAAAGCGGAATACTGCCTGCCGAATTCTACAACATGGCTGGTGGCTTACTGAACCTAAGCCAACTAAGAAGCAAGATCTTCCTAGAAAAGTTGGGGGTCCTAAAAAGATGAGCGATGACTTGATCAGGCGGGGCGGGGAAGTTGACGGTAGTCCGTTCAAACATGCTGCTCGACAGTTGAATTTTGCCACGGAAAGAGATTAGATGATATATGGACGTCACGCCAACCCCACAGACATCGCTTCTATTGCTTATCCCATGATGCGATATGCGAGGTGTCGTATACTGATGCTTCATGGAGTTCGGGCGGTCGATAGCATACAGACGTGGATCATAAGCTTCCACGAGCTCAAAGTTTGCCAGGCGATGCAACTTGAAAGCTGAATTCCCGCCTCATCAGGAACATAGCGAGTCATGCCGACAAGCAAGCAAATTTACTCAATTCACGATCCCGGTTTAACCCGTCTGCTTCTACGGGGATGGCGCAGACAGGTCATTTCCGGTGAAGATGCTCTCTCAACATCAAAACGTTCACCAGTCTTGTGGATTGTGTCTTGAGGTGGGGGTTGGAGGTTGCGCCAAGGCAAATTACCTGAGTGGTTATTCCAAGCCTACTAAAAATTGTAGCATCTTTCTAGCACAAGGCTTACCACTGAGCACCTAGACATCATTCATATTTGGTCAGATACCATCCGGTGATTTTTCTGAAACATCGGTAGGGGGCTAGTACTGACTCGCAGACTGTTTACTTAACTTCTGTGGGATTCCAATGCGGACCCGGGTTCTAGACAGCTCTCGAGGCGAGAGTTGCTATGGTCAAAGGGGACCCGTTCTATTGTGTTCACTTAAGTAATACATGTCCACAGGGCAGATTCTCTGAATGGTGTTTTTTTAACGTTACAGAGCATATAAGCGAGCAGGATCGCACGTTATCATCTAAATCGTACCAGCCAGTCTTGATAGGAAATTGATCAACATTATCCCCTATCCCTGTAGGGGTAGTTACCGGACCTGATGAATAATAAACATCCTTGCGGGCCCACACGAAGACGACTCTGAGTTGCCTGTGAGATAGACACAAAGTACTTCTCTGACTGCCGGGATATTTGGGTCGAATACGGGATACTCTGTCAAGTCGCTTGTCGGTTGATCGGTTTATGGTCCCCAAAATTCCAAAAGCCCCGTGCGAGATCTGGTCCTATATCCGATCCCCAACCGAGGGGTGTGGAGGGGTTCAAAATTGAGGCACTTCCATTACTAGATACATACCCAAGGGCTCTTTCAATTTCTCACCTGGCAGGTACCCTAGGGTACTTTGTACTCCATACCCTGGCTTACAGTAGCGTACCAAACTAGTATCCTTTACAAAGCGAGCCACTTTGTTAGCTCGAAAGCGTCTACTCCGTAGATAAAGAGGACCAAACACCTTCATGGGCTACTATTACAGTATCATTCGCATGCTAACCGCAACTACATAGGCAATCACTGCATAGAAGGATTTCAGTTGCATCATAACTAGGCGTGCGTTACTGCTCACACAATACATACCCTTCCCGGGTTTTCATATTATCGTATTTTCGTAGTAATTAATACCTGCATCTACATACGGCAATATTCATCACAATACTCCGTATACCCCAATGCGACTTGCTGGAGCACTGGGATGGGAAGGATCCTTTAATTCGTATCAAGGAGACCAGGACCCAGCCTAAAATATCGGGTAGTACTCCATAGCCAGGTAATATAGATGTAATATTTGTGGGCTACACCTCATTTACTGTAAGTTTCCAGATGCCGTGTATATCTTGCTAGTGCTGTACAGAGGGACCAAGCACAGAAACGATCTACCGCCTGAGATTACAGCTGCGATTAAGACAAATGCACTGCCATGGGCCCACGGCACCGTGCCAGCAACAGTCAACAGATCAGTGTTGGTAGTGGCTTCTACCGACAGCAAATAAGTTATAATACCCCGATCTCTATACTCTTCTGATCGACTTTCTCTCGCGAGTTATTCCTACCTAAGCTACATACCTAGTACCAGGGCCACTTTATCCGTCCCGCGCGGGACTGAAGGTTAAAGGGCCAGCCTTTGAGCCTCCTTCAACCCAACGCCTCGCGTTCGAGGCGAACTGCGGCGTACGGGGTACTCTAACTGCCCGGACGGATTACTCGCCCACCCATTCCTTTGGCCGTGCCTGATTTGCAACCAGGCCTCCTCTCAGAACTCAACACCTCCGATCAGCGCCCCCTTCAATCGCCATCATTCGGCGGTGCTGTGTTCTGTTTGCTGCTGTCGTAATAACAAAGAAGCCTGCGCAGGCCTGCCAACGCCTGAAACGGGATCGCTGACATCGACTCTTAACTTCCACGCGCGCCCGACACAACAAGACCCGGTTATCAAGGGCTTTTGGACATTTCCGTATCGTGCGCAGGACGGGTGCTTGTTTACACTACAAACCCCTTATCACAGTCAGGACACAGAAATCTCCGGAGGGGTTGTGGGACGTCTGTCGCAATTTTAGCCTCGAAAGGCAAGGCTATCTTGTATTCATGTGAGTCCAAATCCAAGGCCCTCTCCTGTACTCCGTTCCAGAGATACCAGTTTTGTGTTGTATTTCCCCCCCTACCTCTTCACAAATGGAACTAGGTTCTTGTGCAGACCAATGAGACGTCGCAAGGCAGTTGCTATCTGGCGATATGAAAGCCCCCAATTTGCACGATGTTATCTTGTATATTGTTGTGTCTAACTTAGCCTTGTTCTTCGCATAGCCTGACTTCCAAAGTTTAACCTCGTGGATACGGATGGCCTGCACAAGTTCCGAGTAACAAACTAACATCCATTCATATGCCAACTCGAAACGGGATTGCCTGTCGATTCATGAGATAGTATCTAGCCATCGCTTGGCTTAGATGTCTAGCTTACCGCCGTCGTTGCGGATGGCCTCGAACCCTTCGACTGGGCCCTGCCCTCAATTTCCGGCTCCAAAGTCACGAAAAAGCCTACCTATCCCATCTGATCCACCAAGAGCGTCATCTCCATCTCAGATGTCTTTTCAAACGCGACCCCCCTCTAGCCCCAGACAAACACCCGGCAGGCCACTCCAGTCCAATTCAATGACCAACGCCAGCACTCCGAAGACCACCACCGGTAACCGAATCCCGAGTAGTCCTGACAAATCCCTGCGAAGAACAATCAGTATCGCAGCCTTTCCCCAGCCACCTAAGGCAGGAAGCCGCCCTTCGACTGCATCTTCAATATCGGGAATACAGGGCGTGCGTTCCTCGGGGAGTGTAAAGGTGAGGAAAGGCTCTCGGCTGAGTACTGGAACCACCAGTAGCTACCGCAGCTCCCAAACAACTTCACTGTTGAACGGCCCCGGGGATGCGAAATCGGTTTCGGCCACTGAAGCGCGAGATATAGAAGCATCACCTTCACAAAGTAGAAGCTCATCTGCACAAGGGTCTTATTCAACAAGTGCAACTACTTTTGAAGATGCCGATGAAGGTCCGGGTGCACAAAAGTCAACTGCAAAATTGAAAGAGACAAAGGGAAATGTCATTGTGAGCGTCCGAGTGCGTCCTGACGCGAACGGTGGCGAAATCACGAAGACTGCTGAATGGATGGTAGATGGAAGACAAGGCATCATTTCGTACAACGGAAAAGAAGGCGGTGATTATTCGTATGGTAAGATTATCCTGGCTGTTTTTTTTTTAGCTTCAAGGAATTGCTGTGACTTACCTCCCTGTCTTTCCCCCTCATCAGATAACGTGTTCCCCCCTCATGAACACAACGCCAAAGTCTACGACGCTGCAGCAAAACGCCTAGTGAGGCGGGTAATGGAAGGATATCATGGTACAGTCTTCGCGTACGGCATGACTGGTACTGGCAAGACTTTTTCTATGCAAGGAACTGCAACGTCTCCGGGAGTGATACCGTTGGCAATAACGGATATATTCTCCTTTATCAGGGAAACGCCACACCGAGAATTCTTACTACGCGTCAGTTATCTCGAGATATATAACGAAAAGATCAACGACCTGCTGTCAGCCTCAGTTTCTGGCGGGCCCACTGCTCCTCAACAGGAGGAGATCAAGTTGCGCGAAGACAGCAAACGAGGTGTATATGCAACACCATTGAAAGAAGAAATCGTCCAGAGCCCGACACAGCTTCTCCGTGTAATAGCAAGAGGAGACCACGCTAGAAGGACCGGCAGCACGCAATTCAACTCCCGCAGCTCTCGAAGTCACGCAGTTGTTCAAATTGTTGTCGAGAGCAGGGAACGAGTGCCCACTGGAGCTTCTCAGGACAGAAGGTCAGGCCTGGTTCCAGGCGGGGTTCGAGTATCAACGCTTAGTCTGATAGACCTTGCTGGGTCAGAACGGGCTGCCGACGACAAGGAGCGACGCACTGAAGGCGCTCATATAAATAAGAGTCTGCTGACTTTGGGTACTATAATCTCTAAGCTCTCGGAAGCTAGAGATAGGGCCAGCAATCCTACTGATAAAGAGGGGAAGCATCTGCCGTACCGGGATAGCAAGCTTACAAGATTGCTACAGCCTGCCTTGTCAGGAAACTCACTTGTCAGTATACTCTGCACGATACAACTAGGAGGGACAGCCAAGTCGCACTCCGGCGAAACTCTCAACACCCTGAAATTCGCAGCTCGCGCCAAAAACAGCATTGTCAGTCATGCTAAACGAGCAGAAGAAGCATTTGGTAGTGGTGGGGTTGATGCAGGAAGCCGGGTTCTCCTGGAGCGCTACCGGATGGAGATCCAGACACTCCGTAACCAATTAGAGAGTCAGACAAAGGCCCAAGCTGAGAAAGAGCTGAAGCTGGAAGAACAGCAACTTGAAAAAGAAGCACAGGCACGCCATGAAGAGCAAATGCTCGAAATGCAACTGGCTCGAACGGCCCTGAAAGAGAGAATTGAACATTTGAATCGTCTAATTCTGTGTTCAAAGTCCACTGGCGTTAATACTCAGGGAAACCTATCCGCTCTTGGCCGCCTTTCTAGGATGTCGACTGGATCTCGATCTTTACGCTCTTCACTCAGCCAATCTACCTTAGGGGCATACGGGCACTCATCATTTCGGCCAATCTCCTTTCTGTCTGTCAACAGTAATGAACCTTCCGGAAACCAATCCTTCCCGGGTGGACATCTTGGGCATGAATTCGAGGAGGATTTCATTGGCGAGTTCGCAGATGGAAAGGCAAGCACTCAGAGACAGATCGCGGCCCTCCAGGCCGACCTCAACGACAAAAATCGCTATATATCTACACTGGAGAGACGGCTATTACAAGCGCGACGCTCGAGTCATTCCCGCATGTCGATAGGTATGAAAACCGGAAGTGCTACCCCCGATGCCCCCGATGTTCTAGCTTTACTACGAGAGAAGGACATGGAGATCAATGAGCTTCGCCTACAACTGGATGACAAGGACCGGATGCTCGCTGCTCTCCGCTCTGCAGCTCGACATCGAGATCTAGCTCATTCAGCAACCGATGCATTCATTCCTGACACAAAAGATATGTCTGGACGTCAGGAACATCGTCCTGGCGGCGATGACTCGCCGGCTTACGACTCAGCTGTTGGTCTTTCTTCCCCAATCAAAGATGAAGACCCGGCAGAAAAAAAACGAAGCATGGATGACGTGTCACGTATTCTAGATGAAATGATTCAGGATCGCGTCGAAAGTGGCCATTTAATCAAAGGATCTCATGGGAGTGTTCGTGTTGCCGCAGAAAGTCGGCGAACATCTGAATCAATTGCCGGTTTGCCTGGCTTGAGCATGAGCGCTACAGATTTGGAGAGTTCTGGCTAAGGTCCATGTCCATAAGTAACGGTCTCTGTACTCTTCTTCCTGGCTTCACCTTGGGGCCCTTGTGTTTCTTCCTACTGGTACTACTGGAACAGTAGTATGACTCTGTGATTGCTTCACTACCTCGCACCATTACCTTTGCACATGCTCCTCTTCTCTACTGTTCACCTCTCCCCCTCTCCTACCTCCTTCTGTATGCCCTTCTTGCCATTCCACTTTTCTTCCTATAATACCCTTTTCGACTGATCTAGATACCCGAATTTCCTTTTCACTTTCTCTATCTTTATCTTGCTCTTCAATTTTTTCTCACCTTTCTGTCCCTTCCCCCCGGTCATGCCTGTCTAGAAGTACGTATGTGGTTCAGTAATGACATAATGAAAGCAGGTTGGAAGCATCGAGAGGAAATGGTCATCGTTGCCCATCAATTGAAATTCTAAATCTCGTCCTGAGGTGTCCAGATAATCATTTTCTGTAAAATTTATAGAACAGACTCAACATCTTGGTTGAGATGCCAAAGGACATAATTCGAGAATGACAACCTACCACATAAAATGACGCTTTGGATACAAACTTCCATAAAGTATATCAGGATAGCATTCTTCGTTCCTCACGAAGTTCATTCTGCAATTTACACAACTACTGGCAATTTGAGATGGATTTACAGGCAGTGGCCGGACTTTCCAGTCTGTTTTGCAAGCATACGTTGTTGCTTAGGAATTATATCTGTAGCAGCACTGGAAAACACGTAAAAACCATAGGATCTTGCATAATCATCAGGGAAAACAAAGTTTCTTTTATTGCCAGTACCTCTAAACCTCGGTGAAACCCGACACTAATATCGTTGTTTGGTTCTCATTCCAAGTATTGTGTACCTGCTGGTGTGAAATATAGATACAGAACAGTCTCTCTTGCTCCTGTGACACTGGTTACCAGGGCATATCAAGCAACAATTTCAATATCCGATGTCCTATCCTTGGCATAAACGTCTTTCCATTCCTCCCATAATCTCTCCAGTTCTCGTACATACAGGGAATGAAGATGATTGATATAGTCATCGCCAATTTTTTCCCTATCACGTTGCTGCACAACATGAATGGGACGACCAACCACGATATTAAGGGGTCGACGATATGGCATCAAACCAACATCATAGTTGAATACTCCACGGGCATGGAATAATGGAATAGTAAATCCCATTGTATGCTTCACCAGCATCTGTAATTTGTGTATGACAGGATGGTTTTCAGAGCGTACCTGTTCATAGAGATCATTTTCCCCAAAGGCCAACACCGGCACAAGATCAGCGCCAGTGTGGATGGCCAATTTTATAAACCCCTTACGCCTCTTGAGTACAAGGCGCAAGGTATGTGGAAGAGCATCAAGCGACTCGCGAGCGCCGCCTATGACAATGGTAATAGCACGGCCCATTCCTTCACCGTCAATGCCACCCTTCGTCAGCAGGTTCTCGCATGATTCGCGAGAAACACTAGCAATCCCCATAGCAAGCGCATACTCCCTGTAAAAAGGAATTCGGAAATTTGAGTCTAGTGTAAGCAGGGTATTCGTAATGCCCGGGAATAGCCTTGAGAACCCCAGTGCCTCGGTGGCAAATGCCGCAAAAGCACCATGGGAGATAATGCCATGTGGGTGGTATCCGAAAATATATTTCCGCGTAGGAAGTAGAGGCTCTGATCGATGCAACCGGGCTGGAAAATATGACGCATATATTGACCACACACTAAGTGAGCGTAAGAAATCACTTCGACCACTTAGGTTGCCCGACGTAGCTGCGGTTGAAAAAAGGGAAATAAAGATGAGGTAAGGTAGTAGAAGAGGCCAGAATAGAGGAATTGCACACGTGAAGAAGAATCCCGTTAAAAATATCGCTATTGTCAAAGTATGGCACAGGACCACCAAAGTCTGCAACCGCCGTTCGAGTCCAATATTGAGTGGTGCCCAATGAATACTGTAGGAGCGATTGTCAGAAATGGAGACTTAATAAAAGGATTCTACAACAACACGCGTTGTCAACTACTTGCCTTGGACCCTTTTGTTCCTTCGGAGTTGCGCGAGAATGGTAGGATGTAACACCACTGGGGATCGTGGATGAGCTTTTGTTGTATGACAAACCTACCCGCTTCCAGAGCCTCTTGAAGGCACCCTCGGCAGGTGTATTTTGCAGCGCAGCATTTTCCTGACCAAGCGGAACAGGGTCCGGAGAAGTAGTGGAGGCCGACATCAGTGGGCCAGACGCATAAACCACCCCTGAATCTGCGGTGCCGAGCTCAAATGTGCTTTAGGGCGACAAGGATTGAGACTGATCATGAATCATATCCAGGCCCAGTGATACAAGGTCGGTCTATCTGAGTTCAATCTCAGGCGGCCGCCACCGAAGTGCCCGGATATTACTAGAGACAGTCGAGGTAGGCTCCTAGGCGGTTAGTTCAGCACCTGCAATCCTCGCAAGGAGAGATAGCAGATATAAGTTTGTCCACGGCGGACCCCGTGACGTGTGATGGAAGGTATGGAGCCTGAGGTTCCCCACCCGCCGTTGCGGCATACCATATCTAGTGGGAGATACTAGTGGGTCAAAACTTGATCATAGTACAATATTTGTGGTGTGGGACAATAGCACTGCCACATGACATCTGCCTTCCTTGACTGGTTAGATCAGTTACTCCGTCCCATGCAACAGAGCCTCGGTTTCGTTACAGTAGTCCTTGAATCTATACTTGTGCTATTCATTCACTTGAATATGACAATATATGACAATATAGAAATAAATAGCCGTAATGAAGAGAGGTCAGAGCTACTTCGTTTACGGAGTATATCTGAGTCATAAACCAGCAATGGCAAAGCCTGTGCATCAACACGCGCAATTCTACAAAGCCGAATAGAACAATTCTAAGGTAGCAATCGGAGACTCGCAAGGGAAGGAACCTCCCCCCCAATGCTGTCCTTCTATACACTACATGCAAACTTGCAAGTATCAATGTCGGATTATCTGGGGTCGGTTGTAAAGGAGATACCCTGCGCTATGACTTGACCATGAATATCTGCGACGTATCAGCTTCCGTAATACATGATGACGACTTCAATGAACTCGGCGCTCACCTCATTGAGAGACTTCTCATCAAGAAGAGCCTTCTTTTTTTGCGCAATATGTCGGCCCCGGAAGACATGTCTTCCCATAGGGCGGCGCTCTTTCGACAAAACTTTAGCAGCTGTTAAAGATATTTCGTGTCCATTGGTGGAAGTTGAATCTGCTCGTTCGGAGGACTCCATGTTTGTATTCTCAAAATGCACAGTTTCATGCACTTCCACATGTTTTCTCTTCTTGTCTTTTTTCTCCTGGTGGTCCTTGGCTTTGGACTTAGACTTGGACTTGGACTTCGACTTCGACTTTTCGGTGTTTCCATCCCGACTCTCATCTACCGAACTGCTTAAAATCAGGTGCCCTTTCTGATGCCCGGCTACTGTGACAGAAGTTTTATTATCCTGCTTATCTTCTGGAGTGCTTTGCAGCTCCTCGGTAGCAAGAGACTCGGTCTTTTCTTGGGCCAATAGACCACCACTTATAAATGTGACTGTTTGCCATTTAGAAGCGGCGTATCGTGCCAGTTTTGCATTGTCGCGCTTTTGCTGCTCGATTTGTAAATCTGCGTCTGACTTGCCGTTCAATCTTCCAAGTAATCCTTTGAATGCATCGAGACCAGTGGGCTCATCTAGGGGATCTCGCTTGGGTCGCGCTCCAAGACCAAGTGTATCGTCCTTCAGAACAACCTTAATGTGAGATGCACTCGCTGCGGTGAACATTTCAGAATGTGCGGCATTGCGTGCACCTAGGAAACTCCCGGGAGTCCATCCCTGAGAGCTTAAAATCTTGTGTCCGAAACCACTAGTTGACCGTGACCAATTGGTATTGTTAGGGTCATGGGAAATCTTGATTTTTCTAGGCCACTGCCTGGTCAGAATGCCTGCAAGGCTATATATGAAATGGAAAATAAATTGAACGAAAGTGACTTACTTGCGAGGTGCTGCAAGACCCATTTGCTGCAACAAAGTATGGTACCTAGATACCTAGAATACCTCAACAAAACAAATATAATCTCCCTCAATCTCCTCTTCTGTTCAGTCGCCAGTGGATATTTTGACTAATCCCTCTTCCTTTCTAACAAAATTCCAATCTTTCTTTAAAGTTTTATCAGATCAGACAAACAAAAAGTTAGGAAACGATAACAAAAAGATGAAAGTACAAATAAATTAGTACTCGATAAGAGTTGAGAGCCCGGGAAAATTTTCTTCGAGCGGCTTACTGTGACCGCTTACTATATGCGGAAGTTGACTGTCTCGCCCCGGGGTTGGTAGACCCTGCGGGTCAACGTTGTTCGCATCCCAGCAACTGTGGGCTTCCTGTACAATGAATTTCTTAGGCCACTGGGGCTAATGAATTTTCTTTCATATTTTTCATTAGAATTTTCGGGGGGACGAAGAAGTAATTCGGAAGCGGAGTCTTTTAAGGTTAATCTCACTGGATGAATAAGTATCTATCGGACGGAAAGGCTATGTACTATTAGAACGTGGCAACTGATTGACTATACGGAGTACTAGTCAAATCTGTACTAGACGTTGGCTGCTTAGGGAATACCACTCCGTATATCTCCATATCGCTAAATACCGAATACCAACAAAGGCATAAATATTCGAGTATCTGGAGCGCAATATTTTTTGTATATTTGACTCTTCCGTTGTATAACAAGCTCGGCTTTCAGAAAGACAGTGCCGTGACGTCTATGGCAAGAGTCCTGCCGGAGCTTCTTCTGCAATCTGCTTCCAGGTTGCTCAAGCATGATCAATGAGGATTCAACCATACCTTAACAATGTCTAGTCTACGGATTTATACTCGAAACTATCCCAATCGTACGATTGCACTAGCCACCGCCGAATACGTATTGATCTTTCGCTCTGACTTCTCGGGAGCGGAGACTAACGCTCAAAATCACCCTAAAACTACGCCACGATGCTTGGTTGAATTTGCCCCCATATCTTCTGTGGATCTGAAAGGCTATCGGATCATTGGTGATGGTCATGGTACGCTTGGGCTGGTTACTCTGGGCGAGGATGTTTTTCTGTGCGTGGTTACTGGCTCTTCAAGGGCCGCAACTATCAAACCTGGAGAAACTATCTTGAGGATCAACAGTGTGGACTTTTGTAAGCTTTCGACCTTCGTCCCTCAGTAATAGATGTGCATAAGTTGACCTGAAAGGAAAGACTGCCTGAACCATTCCAAATTCGAAGAGAATCTCGACTATGAATTTGGATCTTCATTCGCGGCTGAAGATTCCAACCATGACTTGAACTTCGAAAGCAGAGAGCTGACTCCCGAACTTCCATTTCTAGCTCTGAAGAAGCTTCTTAGTGATGGCAGTTTCTACTACAGCCTTGATTTTAACCTCACTGATCGATTGCAGGACCGGTGAGTCAATATCCGATGGTTCTATACCACAATTAGCTGATAAATATTAGCTCAGATGAGCCGGAAGCTTTCGACATAGAGTCTCTCGACCAGGATATGCTTTGGAATTCGTATATGATTAACCCTCTTCTTCTCTTCAGAAATCACTTGTCTTTGCTTGAAAAACAGCGTCTTGACTCCTCCCAACTCCTGACATGCGTCATACGGGGGTTCTGTGGGACCTTGACGATCCCTGCTTCTGCTCAAGTGCTGCCCCGTGCACTAACTCGCCTTCCAGCTTTAATAACAGTGATATCGCGTCAGTCCTCTCGACGTGCAGGTACGAGGTTCAATTCTCGAGGCATTGATGATGACGGACATGTTGCCAATTTTGTTGAAACGGAAACGATACTCTGGATTGCACCTGATGTTGTGTTCTCTTATGTCCAGATCCGTGGCTCTGTACCTATATTCTGGGAGCAGGCTGCGGGTTTCCTTCCCGGACAGCAGAAGATTGAGATAACTAGATCTATTGAGGCAACGAAGCACGCCTTCGATAAACACTTCAAACTTCTTGAACTGGAGTATGGCGCCATCCATGTGGTGAATCTGCTCAGCGAATTGAAACCCGGGGAAGCCGGTCTTTCAGCAAGGTTTCGGGACCTTTTAACGAAGAGCCCTCTGAATCATCAGTCGCCAGACCACGCTCTGCTACAAACAACAGATTTCGATTTTCACGCAGAGGCACGAGGGCCCATGGGATACGGAGCTAGCACCCAGATCAGGCATGAAATTGCACACTCTGTACAGGGATTTGCATACTTTCAGTCCGGCGAAGTTGGCCCTGTAGCTTTATATGATAAGCATCATGCACCAAGAAGTTCGTCTGTTATACTCCAGCAAGAGGGGGTTTTCCGGACAAATTGCCTTGATTGTCTCGACAGGACTAATCTTGTACAAACAATCATCAGTTCGATGGCTCTGGAAGCTTTCTTAGCTCAACAAGGGGGAGACATAAGCTCCGATGTGCAATTGCGACACTCGACTCTTTGGGCAGATAATGGGGATGCTCTATCAAGAATCTACGCTGGTACTGGTGCTCTAAAGACCTCATTCACGCGGCACGGAAAGATGTCCTTTGCCGGTGCGCTTGCTGATGCGCGCAAAACAGCTACCCGAATCTATGTTAACAACTTCTCCGATAAGGGTCGTCAAAACACAATTGACCTTTTGCTAGGACGGTTGACTGATCAAGTACCAGTACATCTTTATGATCCAGTCAATGACTTTGTGTTAGAGGAACTAAACCAACGATCACAAGAATATTCTTTTACTAAACCCATCAAAATCTGGACTGGAACATTCAATGTCAACGGGCGCCACGAAGGGCCTGACTCGGATTTGCGACCATGGTTGCTCTCACAAGCCGATCTTCAAGGAGAGGATCCGTCAATATACGCCGTTGGCTTCCAAGAGGTCGTCACGTTAAGTCCACAGCAGATAATGTCAACGGACCCTACTACACGTAAAGCATGGGAGATTGCCGTACATACTTGTCTGAACAGGCATGCAGATCTTAGAGGGACTCCCAAGTATGTTCTTTTGCGAAGTGGCCAACTCGTGGGCACTGCCTTGATGATATATGTGAGAGAAGACGCTTTGGGCGATATAAAGAATGTGGAGGGGAATGTGAAAAAGGTGGGGGTTTCCTTATTCCACACAAAGCATTCAACTAATCCCATGCAGACAGGCCTCTCCGGGATGGCTGGCAATAAAGGGGGGTGTGCTATTCGCTTCGAATATTCTAACACCCGAATTTGCTTCGTCACTGCACATCTTGCAGCTGGATTTGCAAACTACGACGAGAGAAACAGAGATTACGAGACAATCTTTCGTGGACTGAGATTTTTGCGGAACAGGTCAATTGAGGACCATGACACAGTCATATGGCTCGGGGACTTCAATTACAGAATCGGCCTTGGCAATCAAAAAGCGAGGGAGCTTGCGGAGAAAAGAGATTTTCAGACGCTGTACGACAATGACCAGGTTTGTTCTTTCACGGAAGGCGTGTCGGATTTCGTTGACAACGCGCAGTTGAATTTGCAGATGGTAGCAGGTAGAGCTTTTCAATTCTACACCGAAGGGCCCATCACCTTCCCCCCAACTTATAAATTCGATGTTGGCAGAGATGAATATGATACATCGTAAGGCTTTCTGTTGTTTTTCCTTGCATGTTTTCATTACTCGGGGTAACTAATAAGGTGCTTGCAGAGAAAAAGCGCGCATACCTGCATGGTGTGACCGGATTCTATGGAGAGGCTCCAACCTTCGACAGATGATATACAACGCTGCGGATTTGCGACTTTCGGACCACCGCCCTGTCTGGGCTCTGTTTACATGCATGATAAATATCGTCGATGAGGCCCAAAAGCGCAGACTTCAGAAGTTGTTATATAATGAACGACAAAATGCTGCTCGTATCATGCTGGCGGACACGGCAAACCAGGTAGACATTGAGGATGGCGAGTCAGCAGCTCTCGAGGGCATTGCTTCAGGACTTCCGCCTGCTAGCTCAGATCATCATAGATGGTGGTTAACTAACGGTATGTCAAAATATGCAACACCTGGGGCCTTTTCGGGGAACCCAGGCCTCTCCTCCAGTATATTATTCTAATCTATATTTGTAAGGTACGCCTGTGAAGTCTCAATTGAGGCCTCCAGCTGAGGGTTATGTGCTGAATATCCATCGCGACTCAAATCCTTTCTCTGGTGATGAGAAAGCTAATTGGGACTCTGCGCCTGTTTTTGGCAGAAGTAGGGGCGATATTGATACGGGAAGACCTCCATTACCACCAAGGATTATGCCCATGGGCTATCCTTCTAGCAGAACTTCGGAGGCAAATTTACCTACGGATAATCGAAAATCTGAAAATTCATCAAGTGGCGCAAAAACAACACCACCACCGCGGAAACATGTTTCACCCGGTACAGATCAAAATCCAATAACAGCTCACTTTGCACCACGCTCATCGCAAGGTCAGATAGAAGGGATTCAAATACCTTCTGTACGTGACTCGGATCAGACAGATGCCCTTAGTTCCGCACGCTGGAGAATATTAGAGGACCAGGGTATCTCTGAACAGCAATGGAAAGGTATAAATTCTCACAGTTCGAGCGATATGTCTACGGAGAAAGAGCCGAGTGCAGCTATGAGGGATCTTCTTGGGGGAGTAATTGGCGAAAATCTTAATTGGAAACCCCTCACTCCCAAATGATAGATATGCCTCTGTTTGCTCTCTAACATGGGCTGTCACCTTACGATTTGTGCTTTTAATCCAGATCAGCCGGGAATGTTTTCTGCTTTGCCCTGCAGTAAATTCTGGCGATCACGAGCGCCTAATGGACTACGGGAAACAATACTCTGGAATATGAGAATTGGTAAATAGCTCAGCTTATATACAAATTTTAAGCCACGTGTTATAAGGGAAGCTCTATGGGTATATGTACATGTTCGCGTTCAACAACCTAAATGTTTCACGGTGTAGTGCCAAGGCATGAACTGCAGCAGAATGTCGACCCACAAGTATGAATAAAGAGAAAAATGAAAGAAAAGAGCTACATTTACCAACCCTAGGGGCATGAAAAACCAATCTCGAGAAAACGAGAGGAAAAGCCATACCCCTCTAAAGCAGACAGGATTGAAGAGGGTTCGAGATCCACAACACTTGCCACAAAATGCTCTACAAAAACCGACCGAGTTAGAGCTGGTAAGGCTAGGGAACACAGAAAACACATACCGCCTGGTAATGCCCCCTAGACGTTAACGGAGGTAGTCAAAGTGAATACATAATGAAACACGTTTTTCGTCATGTCTTCGGTAAGGCGCAATCTGAGGACGAGATCGTAGAACCTGAGTGACTTCACATTACACGGCAAGAAATTCCGTGATAGACTGCTTTAGGCTTTTTTTCCGTTTTTAAAGCCCGGTTAAGCTTCAAGCGATTACCCCCAACCATCCACATGGCGAATGCACCAGGGTCGGGAGCCTTAGAGCGTGGCCTCTTAGCACCTAAGGACCGATCAGCGGAATGTATAAATCGACCAACAGCAAACACATGGCAAGTAGTACGAATATGAAGTAACAGGGTCACCTACTAGTTGATTCGGCCTTTTTCTTGGGCTCTTCAATTATAACGATAGCTTCGTCAACTGGTGCTGCTGGATTCTCAGGCGGCGGTGGTTCTTGTGGAACAGGAGGATCCGGGGGAGGGACAGGTTCCGGGGTCTTTGGCTTTTCGGGTATAGGCCACATGTGCATTGTTATTGTCCAGTCAGGCTCAATGACAGTTTCCCAAACCTGAGGAAGAATGATATCGCCGTTGGGACCTACTAAGTCATAGTGTCCCTCGGCAACGTGGGGCCCGATTACCTCGATATGAAGAAAGGCTTGACGTATAAGTTCTTCCATTCCCTTGATTGACAATAGTCAGTTAAGAATAGCTCTTTATGGGAGATAGACCTTACCTGCCATGTGCAGCATAAATCGAATGGGAAACTGAATTTTCTGCCGACAGCATCTTTGAACTTAATGGGCTTTTTCTTCTCCGGTGGAGGGGGGCTTGCAGCCGCGGCGGCGGCTGCTGCTGTCGCAGCGGCGACGGCCTCTGCCGCTGCTGCATTTGCTGCTTCAGTGGCTGCTGCCGCTGCCTCAGCCGCCGCCGCTGCTGCTGCTTCCTCAGCCTCTTGCTTCGCTTTTGCAGCTTCTTCGGCAGCCTTTTGCTCTGCCTCTGCCCTTGCACGTGCTGCAGCTTCCTCTGTAATCCTCTTCTCATGCGCAGCACGTTCTTCCCTGGCGGCTTGTTCGGCCGCCTCTTGATCGATTGCAGCTTGTCGGGCAGCTTCGCGGGCCTCGCGGGCCTCGCGTTCGGTCCGTTCTTCCATTATCAATCTTTCCAATCTTGCAATAGCTTCATCCTTTGCTGTATCAATCGGCGCAGGAGCAGGCGCAGGCGCAGGAGCAGGAGCAGGAGCAGGAGCAGGAGCAGGAGCAGGAGCAGGCGATTCACTGGACTCAACTTGGCTTGGAGAAGGCACACGCGGGTATGGGTTAAAATATGGTGTAATCATCCCGGGAACCATGGGATAGGGCTCTCTGAAAGGATAATAGCTTCCTGATCCATAAGGAACCAGCTCGTGGGGGCTCATTGCAGGGCCGCCGTAAGGAAGTGGGCCATGCGGCGTAATATGATGAGACATCGCGTGCTGTGGTGGGTTGTGACCATCTCCGCGGCCATGAGGAGCTGACGGGACTTGATGCGGATGATGCCCGGGATGGTGCTCATGAACGAAGAATGGTGGCATTGGTTGACCATGGGGATGCGGTAACTGAGGGCCATATCCGTAAACCGGGTGAGTGTACGTTGTCTGCTGGCTGACCTGACCGTTATGGCCGAGTCTCACTAGCTGGTCGGACGGAGGGGGAAGACCGGCTGGGTGGATGAAATGCCCATGAGGTATACTAGCCCCACCCGGATAAACGTACGACGGCCCAGGGGATGAGCTGCGGGCATAACCTTGAGCTTGGGGCACAGATGACCAATATCTTCTTTCTTGGGATGCGTGACCATAAGGACTTCCGTATTCTTCGGCTGAATCAGCGCTTTCTGGCGACTCTGGAGAAGGGTGACGATGAGAACGGCGGGAAAATGTGTCCCGTTCCTGGACCAAATGTCGTCTGGCCGAGTGGCGGCGGCCTGTGGTTGAAGTCGGGCCATTTATCGTACTGTGAGTGCGAGTACGACGTGATATTCGGGGTCGAGATGCTGAATCAGACGGTTTTATTTCGTCGGGATAAGTAAGATGCGCCCATTCTTCATAATGGTCATGGTATCCATGACTCTCAGAGTCGGACACTGGAGATACCTGCACCCCTGAAGAATCTTCCTCGTCGGATAAGGAGGAATTGTCTGAACCGGGTGGACTGGGACCAATGGTAATATTGAGTCTGCTTAACTGTCAGCTCGCAGCACCGTTAATGATCGTTCCTGTTGATACAGACGTCATTGTGGTTGTCAAAGTTCCTGACTCATCACCTGCAACTCTGGCTTTTGATATTCAACCTTGAATCCCACTGAATGCAGATCGCGAGGCAAAGGGGATACTGAACGTATCTGATAGTATGCCTCAGATTTACTGGATAACGACAATCAAATTTCGAGGATGCAGTTTCGCTTTCGGTGTATCACAGTTGATTTGGATGACGCGGACTGGCCAGAGTTGTGTAAAACGTTTTAACCCTCAATGGCCCTCGGCATTAGAGTAGCGTTCATTGTTAATGTCCGATTATGGCCAGTACCATCCAAGTGTTAATGCACAATGGTGCAATTGGAGATTGGCTTTTGAGGTAGAGGCTTTAGTGGAACTAGGCGCGCATCAGCTGCAGAGTAGAGCGGAAATTCCCAATCCGAACCAGGCAGATCAGGAACAGGGGGGATAGAAAATAAACATAAATGATAAACGAATAAAGAGACAGGTGTCAAGTAACAGGCTCACATATAACGCGGTCAGGCCGGGTTGAAGAACAAGGAGCAGGAAGCGGGGAGGAGGAACCAAACACAACTTGTTACGGGAAGAAAATAACAAAGAATGTAGAGTTGACGGCCTGATCAGATTAAGTTTGTTTGGGCCTATACGGTAGTGGAGTTTTGGGCATGCCAGGCGGAATATTGTGGGCAAGGGCTTTTAATTCAGATGTCGTCACCGTCATTCTTATTAAGGAGTTGTTAGGCACTGAGCTGGCAGCCCTCATCCTATAGGTATGTGTTAGTCCGCTGCCCAAATGCCCAATCAATTCGATGTCAATATGAGGGTTTGTACCCGTCGCACTTTCCCTGGTCCTACCTAACTAGATACCTAGCACGGTCCCCACTATCGGTAACTTAAGCACTCAGGCACTTATTGATACCTTGAATTTACATCAGGTGCATGAACCTACCTAACTCAAACTACCCAGGTAAGTACTGTAATAGCTTTAGCAGAGGGGGTTCAAACTTTAATGCAATCGAGTTTCAGTTGAGGTCTCCATAGTCCAGTTTGAATTCTAAGAAGCTATAGATAAGTTTGTTTGAAAATCTATATGTATCATCAACATAACAAAGTCCCGCTTGGGTTGTTCTATTCTGCTTTACTGTGAACTGTGGACTGCAGAGTCAAAAATAGCATTAAAATACTATTAAACATGATGACTCAGAGACAGAAAAGACGCAGTCCACACCTTAAGTTAATATCTGGCTTAAGATCATGGAGGAAATAGTTGCAATCACCAATAATGTACTACGTAACGCGGACTGGTTGTCATACTCCTTACTCAAAAGGAGATTTGACTTTACGCTAGGAATAATATTTATGCAACCACGTGAAACAGTCTACGATATCTACATTGTGGATACGGAGTACGGAGTAGAATATCGTTATATGGGTAGGCCATGTCGAACCCTATGTGAATGAATTGGCGATCTTCATAGCGAGTCTTATAAGAACAAATGCTAGTCTACCCGCGTAATTGCATTAGAAGGGCCGCAATGCTATACTCAGCTTTTTTTGCAAATCATGGATCCTATTGTTTTATGAAGGAGAGTGGAAAGGGAAGCTGGGGGAAAGGAAAAAAATAAAGATGGTTTTTATAAGAAAACAAATGGCAGTGGTATAAACCAGGTCGATTTGATTACGTGAAAGGTAGATTATGGTATTATTGTATCTTCCTGGCTCCTGCATTTTAACCCCAGGTTGAGGAGAAAGAAAACATCAACGCCTCCTACAATGTAGAACTGTCCAGCCGGTCGAGGAGCTCCTTAGCCGCAATTAGCTCGCCCTGGTTACCCTTCCAAATGAGATGGTTAGAAGTTCGGCTTTTCACGATTTCATTGAGCCTTTCCCTTGCGAAAATGGTCAGTTCATCGAGAATCTTGCTCGTAAGCGGGCTTCTCGTTTGCGCCGATGGTCCTTCAGAATGTTTATCGAGATGCTGATTCTTTTTAAGGAGCAATGTAGCCTGTTTAGTGTGAGCCAAAAACTCTTTCTGGTACGTAAAGATTGGGTGACATACAAGGATCAGGCCGTATAACCCCCGAAGATAATCAGTGCAGAGCTCTATGCTCCGACAAAAACGGTGTATGGACCCCTCTAAAAGTGAGAAAGAATCCTCCCCGTCAGAGGAAAGCGCATTTGAATACAAGATTTCGCCGAGAAAGGCATGAATCTACATAAGCAATTAGCTTCCAATTCACGACGCATCAATGGTCATGGACCGTACATTCCAAGCGTTGGGTACGATCAACAGCGCCTCCTCAAGGCAAAAAGCCGCCTGTGAGCTCATTCCCTGAGAATAATATAAATCTGCAAGTTCACACCAAGCCTCCGCATCTGTTGGAACGGCATCTAGGAGGTTAATTAGACTGGAAATGGCGTCTGCTGGTCTGGAAAGCGAACGAAGAAGCGCAACACGACGCTTTAAAATAGGCTGTTATAGACGTTAGTCTTTGTTTCACCAACCTGCAGGTAGAACAGACCAGATTAACAGGGTTCTCGGAAAGCATAAGGTCATATTTCTGCAAGCACTTTTCAAGAGTAGGTCGATTCTCCGCAGTTGCCTCTTCATATAACCCCCTCAATCCGGTTACTTTCTCATCTGTGACACCAAACCGAGCCGCTAGTTCCTCGGTACATAGTAAGGCAGATTTGTCGTCCCCAGATTGTAAGCAAGAGAATAACAGTTGCTCTATGACGCCGTAATCCTCGGGATTCTTCCCACTGTTTACCGAGGTATGAGGAATCATGTTCCCTTGTCTTCGAAGAATCAGTGGCGCTCTCTGTGCGAGATGGAAGGCTGCCACTAAGTTCGAGCCATTTGCAACTTCAAGGTCAGGTGTATTAGTCTGCATAATTTGAAGCTGGCGGCTGATGGTGAAGATCAAGTGTTATAGCAAATCGGCAACAACGGTCCTCCGAATTAAATGAAAGTCAAGTAAGATGATGATTTAGAACCAGCAAATAAAACACAAAATAGAGGGTATAATAACAACTTAGCAGGTGAAGAGAATTATCAAACTGGCTTATTTCGACTGAAGATGATCATGATGCTTATTGTTATCTACGGAGTACTCCGTACCAACTTGATATCTGCTCCCGTGACTTGGTGACATAAGTAGTATCAAGTAATGCCCAGCCAAGGAACCAGTAGTAGTCTAGTAAACCTCATTAACTAGTTAACTAGTTACATGGACCCGCTGACACACCACGAGTACACGGTCGCCAGTGAACTACCAGCTACGTAAGTGGATATGCTCCTGAGTCTACACAATACTCAGTACGCTGCTACCCACTGCCTGCCATGAACTATGACCCATCTCTTTCAGGTATATCTTCAAAATAAATAACCAACAAGTGTCTATGGACCCTCGATACTCCCGAGTGCTGTCCAATTAAAGCACTGACGCCAGTCCAAGCATAATGTCAGTACGGAGTAACTGTCTCTTGTTTTAAATCTCTAAGCATGACTGACATGTAGCCAATATAGGTTCGAAAAATCGCTTTATGACCTTATCAAAGGTCTTAGAAATCACAAAGGGGCAGAGGATGAATACATACAAGATAGTCTACGAGAGTGCAAGGCTGAGATCAGGTCACAAGATACGGGTACGCAGACACCATTCAGCTCAGACCAAATACTTATTTCTGGTAGATAAAAAGGCTACTGCACTTTTGAAGTTGATTTATCTGGAAATGTTTGGATATGATATGTCATGGGCTTCTTTTCACGTTTTAGAAGTGATGTCGTCGGCAAAGTATCTTCAGAAACGAGCAGGGTACCTTGGAGCAGTGCAAAGCTTTAGGCCAGATACAGAAGTACTAATGCTGGCGACGAATCTTTTAAAGAAGGTCATAAAACCTCTCCCCCCTCACCTTCATATATCTCTTCACACTTAACTGATGATACTATAGGATCTCGTATCTCATAGTATCCCGAACATGTCACTTCCACTCATCACACTACCAACTATTGCGACAACATCCCTTGCTATGTCTTTGCTTCCAGATGTCTTGTCCAGGATCTCTCACACTCACGCAGTGGTTCGGAAGAAGGCCGTCATTTGTCTCTATAGACTAACCTTGGCTTATCCGGACGCGCTCAAACTAGCGTGGCCTAAGATTGAAGAAAGGCTCATGGATGATGAAGAGGACACTAGCGTCACCACAGCAGTGCTGAATGTTGTATGTGAACTAGGATGGCGAAGGCCTCATGATTTCCTGCCTCTTGCACCAAGGTTTTTCGAGTTGCTGGTGGATGGAGGCAACAATTGGATGGCCATAAAGATAATAAAACTTGTATGTTATGTTCCAAGCTTATATGCTTATCACTTTCCTAAAAGATCACAGTTTGCTACGATTACCCCGCTCGAACCGCGCTTAGTTCGAAAGCTGCATCGTCCATTAGTGAATATAATTCAGACAACAACGGCAATGTCATTACTCTATGAGTGTATTAATGGACTGATCCAGGGCGGTATACTTGATGGTGATGCGGGAATCGAAGAGAAAGATGAAATCGCAAACTTATGTGTTGGTAAACTACGGGGCATGGTGGTTTCTGACTCTGATCCAAACCGTGAGCAGTTCTTCCTACAACTAGAGGGATCAAGGAACTGACAGAGAAATATCAGTCAAATACGTGGCTCTCCTGGCCTTCAATAGGATTGTCCTCACATACCCGGTGTTAGTCTCAATGCACCAGGACGTGATAATGCATTGCTTAGACGATCCCGATATATCAATCCGCCTACAAGTCCTTGAGCTCGCAACGAGAATGGTCACAAGTGATACTTTACAGTCAATTGTTGATAAGCTAATTTCGCAACTCACGAATTTTCGACCATTGGAGAAGGAACGGCACCTTGAAATTGCGGAAAAGCCTATCGAATGGAGCTATGAGTCACCAAAAAAATCGACAAATAAAGCGCCTCTCGTATTGCCAGTTGACTATCAGGTACAAGTCCTGCATCGCATTCTAGACATATGCTCTTATGATAATTACTCAAACCTACCAGACTTCGAATGGTATGTCGATGTCTTAATACGATTGGTGAGACTTCTTCCAGCAGACATCGAAGATAATTCTTTACTACATGTTCCACAGGAAGAGCGTGAAAACCAAGACCGAAGTCATATAACGGGCCGGATTGGATCTGAGATTCGCAACATTGCTGTCCGTGTTCGAGATGTGCGGATGGAAGCAACTAGGGCAGCGGAGTCATTGATCCTAGTTGATAACAGACAAGCCCTCTTGCCTGGTGTACCAGCCTCGACCAATGGTTACCTAGGACCTCTTGCATGGGTTGTCGGTGAATATGCGGGATACCTTGTGTCACCCGGACAAACTCTCTACGCACTAGTTGATTTGGCCAATGTGTCATTACCAGGGAGAACCCTTTCCCTTTTCGTGCAGGCTATTCCCAAGGTTCTTGTCCATATTATTCGCGATGGCGATCAACAATGGGACTCTAGCAGGAGAAGCGAAATCGCACTCATTCTCGTGCGGGTTATCAGGTTCCTAGAGGCTTTGGGGGCACATCCAGATCTAGATGTGCAAGAAAGGGCCATTGAGTTTCTAGAGATCATGCGATTAGCATCAGACGCCGCACGTTCAACAGGTGTTGATTCTTGCGACATCCCTTTCTTACTGTCTTCGGTGATTCCTAGTCTATTTGATGGGCTCGAACTAAACCCGGTTTCTGTTAATGCCCAAAGGAAAGTCCAATCGCCGGAGCAGCTGCATCTACAACAAGCATTTAACAACAGTCTCTGGGAACTCTTCGATCATAGTCCCGGACAGTCTCTTGTGGAAAGCAAATTGCCATTCCATGACTTCTATTACAATCGAGAGACATCAATGCTGGATAAGCAGGTAGTCGACTGTGTCCCAGATGACATGCAATTGACTTCATCTTTCCGAAACACTGGAAGTGATTTTGAAGATGCACCTGCTCTTGCGAGGCGCAAATTAGGTCGAAAAGAACGCAGTCGAGACGATCCATTCTACATCGCGACTGATACATGGCCTGGGATATCTCAAACGCATCGCCCATCATTGCACACATCGGATGGTGGCGAGCTAGATATTGACTCCATCCCGATCATTGATCTCAGGTTGCATGAAACGAGAGACCGACGGAGTGAACGCGTGGCTTCTCCCATACCTGGCGAAAATAGCTCAAAGGTCGGGTCACGCCATAAAAAATATCACGTAATTCAGGACGAGATGATCGGCCACGATGAGGGTGTGGGTACTGAAGACACTAGTGCCCCTAACAAATCGAACCGGTCACTCCTTTTGGTGGATTCTAGCGGTCTACAACGCCTTTCTTTGAGGGAAGATAGCATGTCACCGCAAATCTCCAAGAATGTTGGCAAAATCGAGGATGATGTGGAAATGGTAAAGGCCATGCAGCAAGTAGAGAGATTTCGACTGGAAATGGAAAGGGAGTCGGAGCGAGTTCATCCGACAGGAATCCCCTCAGAGGGGACGTTGGTCAAGAAGAAGAAGAAGCGGGTAAAAAAGCCCATGATCCCCGAATCGCGCGGGAACTATGATAAGCAACACTCGATTGCTGATGGGGATGAGATGCGCAAACCGACAAAGAAGAAGGACAGGAACAGGTCACAACACCCGCTTGACTGATGCATAATGTATCTAGGAGAAACAAGGGAGGAGGAAATTGGTAAATTAGTATCTATATCAAGAACTCGAGATACGCAACCTGCGCTTCCCACCATATATTTTATGGCAGGACGAGCAAGCCACGAGATCAGCAGGCAGAACGCAAAACAACAGACACTAAATATCAATCGCAGCAGCGCTAATATTGTCGTCGCGGTGTAGAAGAGCAACGACTCCAGGCTGCCACCAATCCGGTGAGGGGGTGGTATTACCAGACTCAAAGCATCAAGCGGCTGAAACTTGCGACAATGGCTGACCACAGTTTTGGTATAATCCCCAGAAACTCGAGGAAGAATCCGCCACAGACGACAAACGCAAGGATGACTTTTTGGTTGTTAGCTGATATTATGAATGCAACCAGTAGGCGTTTGTTTACATACCCAACCAGCCTGTAGACACGGGTGACCTCGAAGTCTGCTTTGGCTTCGCGAGGATCTTCCCTTTACCACGCTTCGCAGATTCCTGCTTGGCAAATCTCTCATTTGCCTTTCTTTGTTGCGGTGTCTGGGCCTAGATATGGCGTCAACAACATGTAGCTAGTTTGCGAGAGTACTGAGAATTAATAAACTACCATGATGACCTGTCAGATGCTGCGAGGATTAAATCGACCTGGAAAATGATGTGAAGACGCTTGAGCAGTAACAAATGATGTGGGCTTTATCTAGGGGGAATTGAACTGATCCATAAATACATATGCTGCAATCTGGCAAATTGTAACCAGTACTCCGTAGATACTCAAAACTAAAGGCCACGTTGTGCCAAGTCTTATCCAAGGAGTGCTAACTTCACCCCCCTCTGTAAACTTTAGGGTCACACCTGGTGTGACTCAGGACATCTCAACACATCAGACAGCCTACTATTACTAGATGCTTTTTAAGAGATCCAAATATCCCGGTTATTGGTATTTTTCAACATTGTGGGATTTACTAGTTGTTGAATCACAGGATATTATTAGTCCTTAGCTAAGTATGAGGCTCTGACCTCACATGTCCTACATATGACTAGTCCAGGGAATTACTAACCACTATTAAAAAATTACTAATTATTAGATAAGAATTATTATACACGTAGAACCTTCTATTAAAAAAATTATCTTATTAATATTAGAATTTATCTTTTAAAAAAAGAATTTATTTAATATTTAAAGTCCTATTTATAGATATATAAAAAAATTATTTTTATTTGTATATAGATTTTTTTAAAAGAATTTATAAATTTTTAATATATAAATATAATATTCCTATTTTTTTATTTATTAAATATAAAACTATTTCTAGTTTATTATATAATTAATAAATCTTATTTTTGAATTAAATTAAAGCTAAAATATCTTTAATCTTAATCATAAATAATTTTTAAATTTTAAAAATACTATTTTTTTAATTTTTAATATTTTTAGTAATTTTAGGTATCTATTTTTTTATACATTTTGAAAAAAATTCTTTAAATTATTATCTGTAAATAATAATAGAAATTCATTAATAATTATTTTAAATAAATAGATTATATAATTTATATTTTATTTAATACTATTAAAAAATTAATTTATAAAAGAAAGTAGATCTAATAGGATCTACTTGAGACAGCCATTCAACACAACAAAATGAGGTCGTATTGGTGCTAACTACTCTAGAACTTTAAGCATAAGGAGAAAAAAAGAAAAATAAAAATATTATAAATACTTAAAGAGAATAATAATAAAGTAAAATAAATATAATTATATATTTTTAAATAGAGTTATTATTATATTATCCCCTTATTTAAGCCTGACTACTTTTAGTTAGGGGAATATTATTATCTTTATAATCTATAGTAAATTTATTATTCTCTACTATAGTAATTTATATAGAGAGTTATTTAAATAGTCTAGAATAATTTAAATAATAAACATAAAAATTATATGAATAAAAAAATATATTCTTAAAATTAATAGTAGAATACCTTGTATAATTTTTTTTATTAAAATTTATTTAATGTGGTATTATAAAATTCTTATAAATAATTTTTTAAGATCTATTTTATCTTTTATTTAATATGATTATTAATTTTAATTAAGAGAATTTAGTTTAAAATCTATTTAGATAATAGTTCTAAAGTACCGCCAGGGCGGAGTTTATTAAAATAAAAAATAAAATAAATAATAATATTAAAAAAACATAAATACATAGGATAATATTTTTTAATAATAATTTAAATTAGATATAGTTTTTTTAATTACTTACTAGAATTAAAAAAATATAGTTATTCTAGTAATATTATTATTCTTAATTATAGAATTAATATGGAAGATCTTATATTAAGTAAATTTAAGATTTCTCTTACTGAAAGTTTAGTTTATATAAATGATAATTAATAGTGGGAAGAGAACTAGATTTATTTTAATAAAAATAAATAAGATATATAACTAGTTTATTAAATTAAAGTATTAAATCTAAGATAATTATAAATTAAATATTAATTAAAATTATAATAAAAGTATTCTTTTCTTTTTTTCCAGATGGTCTTGGGTCGTAAAAAAATAATAAATAAATAATAAAATTATAAAATTATAATTTAAAGTAATTAATTTTTAATTAGAAACTTCTATAAAAGATTTTTATAAAATTTTTTTAATAATTATAAATATAATATATTAAATATTAATTAATCTCCATGGATAGTTCCAGGGGTTAGATTTATATTTTAATTAATAATTATTTAAATTTTATAAAAACTAGATTAGATTATAGTAATTTTTTTTCTAGAGATATATTATTTAAAAATATAATATAAAATTTTTAATTAATATTATTCTCTAGAGTGATTATCAGGAAGTTAAAATATAAATAAACTTTATAAATAAATTTCTTAAATTTAATAAAATATATAATAAATCTATAATTTTTGCTGGGCATTACAGGCGTAATTAAAAATTTTAAAAATATATTTAAATATATTTAAAATATTTATAAAGTTATTTAAGATATAGTCACTATTTTCTATAAAAAATTAGATTTAGATATAGGAAATCTTACCTAATTAATTAATTATATAGATTTTATAAGTGGAGGTAGTAATATAATAATTATAATTAATATTTATTTTTATTTAAATTTAAAAAATAAAGTGATTTAAGTCTAAGTAATTAATTTTAAACTTACTAAGATTAAATAATTATTTAAAAATAAAAATAAAAAATCTAAAATTAATTAATATAATTATTTCTACGAGAAAACTACAGGTTTTTTAATAATAAGTTTTAAAATAAAAATAGAAATATTAATTATTAATATAAATTTTTATATGGCTTTAATATATTTAGCTAAAATTCAATTTCTTTTTTTTTTAATAGTAATTTCTTTTATAGTTAGAGTACTAACTAGCTAGTAATTAATTTCTATAATCTACTAAGTCTAGTACGCGCTTATTATATTCTAAATATTAAAATTTTATTATAAATAGTTTTATTTACTGGTGACTTCGGCAGTAAAAGTAAAGATTTATTTATAATAATTATACTATTTTCTAGGATATTTAAGAATATATTAAATTAATTTATCTAGTTTATTAAGATTAATTAGAGATTATAAAATAGTAATTATTTTATAAATTTATTATTCTAAAGACAGAGCTATATAATATTAGAATATAAATAAATAAAAATAATAAGATAATAGGTTCCAGTGGGTAGGCAGAGTTTAGATAATAATAATAATTAAGATTTTAACTAGATATTAAGCTGGCTACTAGTTAAGCTATATATAGACTAATAAATAAGATATAATTTAAGGCTATAGATGGGATTCAAGGGAAAGGTGGCTTTTAACTATGTCTGGGATCACGTGTCGGGCGGTAAGACTCGGCAGTATTTGGGAGGTTGTACCGTGACACTGATAGTTTAATTAAACTATTATCCTATTAAAAATATCAAAAATTCATTTAATATTTAAATATGAAAAATATTGAACATCTAATTATTAATTCTTGAAATTCATTATTTATTTTTCATTAATTTATATTTCTTTTTCATTATTCACTATTCATCAAAAATTTATTCAATTTTTATGAAAAAATACAGGTTTAGAATAAATATATTATTCATTTTATACCTGGGGGGGTGTGTCGGCTGGAATTTCCCAATTCATTAACTAACCAAATTTGGCAAGCTGACTGGATAATTAAACCACTAATCAGTCATCTCCATACAAATTAGCCATCTCCGATAATTTGATTTTTATGGGCCGGTTTTCTAGCTAACTAAGTAAATACTTATATTTCTCTACTTATATAAAATTATTATTTCCTTACTATGATTATATTTATTGAAAAAATTTATTTTATTCTACTTTACCTTATGTTTTAATAATTTCATGACTTTCTTAATTTTAAAGTATCTTGATCTAGGCCTGATTCATAATTATTTAGTCTAATAGATAAATAAATATAAATATAATCTTAATCTCTATCTATTTACTCTATTTTTTCTCAAAGGTTTTAAGTAATTTAATTTAGAATTAACTTTTTGATTAAGTTTGATCACTTTTCTTTCTTATTTAAAAAACTTTTATTGAATCCTTCCCTTTAACTACTTAAGTCAATTGTATTCAGAAGATACTAAACCTAAGTAAGAATAGTATTTTCTTTTTTTTGGTTAAGTGTCTCCTGGTTTTCCAACACTAATTAATATAAAAAAAATTAAAAAATATTTAATTTTTTATATTTTATCTAGATACTATTAATCCTTATTATAATATTGGTAGTATATTAGAATACTCTAAATTATTCTTATTAATTTAAATAAAATTAAGAACATATATTAGTAGTATTAAGATTTAAAAATAAATCTTTGATTTTTGTTTAAATTTCTACTATTTAGCTATGGAAGTTAAAATCTATAGAAATTTTTAAAAAAAGATTTCTATAATAAATTTCTTTTTAAATTAAAGAAACTAACTATATACTTATTCAATAATAAGGAAACTATATTTATATAATAGAACAGTCTAGATTAAGGCCTTATCTTATCAGCATTAGTCTAACTAATGTTCTAGTCCTGTAGTAGTCCAGCTAATATAATCTAGATCCTTAGAATGATATACTAGAATAATTATAAAAATCATAAGATTATTAGTAACATTTTAGGATCTTTTTATTTTTTATAAGATAATATTTTTTAGTATTAGATTACTAATCCTAGAAGAATTAGTCTATCTTATAAATATAAACTATTTTTATTATTACTAGTGGAATTCTATATATTTAATCACTAGTTTTATATCTAGTTAATAAATCTTTTACTTTAATAAATAAATCTTATTATATTCTAATACTTCTTTTTCAGTTATCTAAGGAAGATATTATCTAAAAATTATAAAAAAATAAAATTAATTAATAATTGAACTAATTTAGAACTATTATTAAATACTATTTTTACTATTAAAAAATTTAATAATTAAAAGATTATATTTATCAGTTAAAGTAAGCTAATAACTTATAATAAAAAATAATTTATTTCCAGGAAGATTGTTTTCCTAGTAAAATCTTATTTAAATATTATTATTTCTTTTTTAAATTTAATAAAGAAAAAAAATTAAG